TGACATAAACCTTAAGACACTGATCACATTCTCTTGTGTGATAAGTTTAATGAACTTAGTAGTGATTGTCCAGAAATCTTCGTGTTAAACTGAGGATTTGGGCGAAATGGAGGTTAATGCACCAGAATCTGGTTTGTGCTCAGCAGCTGCTTTTCTCAGAAGACTGCTGTGAGGTCTATCATTGACCTGGTTCCCCGGCCCCAAGAAGGGCACTTCCTCTTACTGATCTATCCTGCATGTTCGAATCATGTATTGAGCTCAATAACAGGGCTCAAGAGTCCAAAGGTGAGTAAGACAGGGCTCTGCTCTCTGGGAGAGACTCAGGCTCTAGTTGGAGAGTGAAGTTCTGACAGAAGTATGCACAGGTGAAAAGGGAACTGGCAGGAGGAATACCTGGCCAAGTCTTGGGGGGAAGGTTCAGGAGGGCTTCTGAGAAGAGTTGTCACTTGAACTGAGACTTCAAAGATAAGTAGCGGTCAACTGACTGAAGGAGTTGGATGGGGGAAGCTTCAACAAAGGTGGTAGAAATAACAGTGTGTAATAACAATGTGGAGTGGGGTGGCCAGAGGTTGGCAGAAAAAGTGGGCAAGGATAAGATGGTGAAAGTCAGATATATGTTATGTTCAAGATCATGTTCAAGAGGTGGGATTTTATTCTGAAGTTGGTGGGGAGCTACTGAAGGATTTTAAGCAGGGCAGAAAGATGCTTAGATTTATTTTATAAGCATGACTCTGGCAGTGGTATGGAGAGTAGATCAGATGAAGGCAATATAGATTAGGAAAACCAGTAAGAAGGCTCTTTTACGTCACACACAAGAGATGATAAAGACTTAAACTAAGTCAGGGGCAGTGGCTATAAAAAGAAGGATAAAAATGATGATGAAAATGATAATAGCAAATGTTAAAATGTACTGAGTACTTGCCATATGTCCCTGTCATGGATGCTGTGCTGTGCAACCCAGATCTCCCCCCGCTTCAGGACTGAAGGACTTTTTCCTCCATTTCTGAAACCCGGAAGCTGAGCTCTTCTAAAACTTCCTCAGTTGAAGAGAGCTGCTTTGCCTCAAATCAACCCTCTTCTTGAGGCAGCTGACATCTGCTGGCTGGTCTATGAGGGAGTGTAAAGGCCCGGCCCACTTGTCTCAACTCAGGATAACTTTCAATATTTAATAAAAAGAACCATTTCATTAGATATTCACAAAAATTTCAAACCCACCTGTGGAGTGAGCTAAGACCTTTGTGGCAACCCACCATTTCCTCTGCCCAGTCCCACTTCCTTCCCTTTCCTTCCACAGATGGTTATCCTGAGAATGCTCCCTCAATAACCTCCCTGCACGCTAATCTCAGTCTTAGAGTTTACTTCTTGGGCAACTCAACCTGCAACACAAGACATTGTTCTATGTGCTTACGGACATTATCTCAAATCCTCACAGCAACCTGTCAAAGTAGGAATTATTCTCCCCATTCCACAGAGGGGAAAATTGAGGCTCAGAGATATCCAACTATTAGGTGGTAAAGATTGAATTTGGATCCAGGCTGTTCTGGTTTGAAAACACTAGGTATTTCCATTGAACTATGCTCAAGAGGAGGGCATAGAGTCTAGAGATATTTAGAAGGTTGGATTTTTTTAGGACTGATTTGAAGATCTATTTCCTGTGGGGAGCAGGGCAGAGAAAATGGTTGGTAGGCTTCTTCTCACGCACATTTCTACCTCTCTGCCTCTACCACTCTTCTACTTCCAATATTTAAGAACATCTTCATGAGAAAGTCCTTAGTTACTACGTGTCTTAAATGGGAAGATACATAAGTAAGACATATCTAACTGGATTCCACAGTCCTCGTATCAGAGGGCAGCTGCAGGCTGTGAGCTCCCACGGGAGCAGAGGCCCTGTATTTTTCCTTCTGCTTCCTTCACTCCTAACTCCTCCTCCCCAACCCCACTCCCAAGCCTATTGCAGGGCTGGTCCTTTGCGAGTACTGGAAGGACTGAAAAAGGGAGGCATTCAAACAGATTTAGAACTGGCTCTCCTGGGCAGAGAATTGGGATCATCAGATATTTTTACCACCACTCCTTGGCCTTGTCTATATTCTCCTTCTGTCTCCGTGGGCAGCCCTCTTACAGTTCTTGAACACCCCACATTTCCTTTTAGAGTCATCTGGCGATATCCTGCATTCCCTTTGTGTAGGCAGAATGACACCTTAAACATGTCCAAGCCTGAATTCCTGGAACCTATAAACATGTTATGCTACATGACACGAGAGACTTCACAGATGTAATTACGGTTATGGAGCTTAGATGAATGAATCCTGGATTATCTGGGTGGTCCAGTCTAATCACATGAACCCTTAAGAACAGAGAACTTTGGATGGAGTCAGAGAGGTGCTGCAGAAGGAGAAGTCAGAAAGACTCAATGTTTGAGATGTACTTGACCCACCAGTGCTGGAGGGGGTCACGTGGAAACCAAAGGAGAGAGGTGGAAATCCTCCAGGAGTAAAGACACTTTATATGAGTTTTTCATATGCTGGGTGACTAAATGGGCAGCATCCATAAAGTGCTTCTGCTGCATTCCAACCTCAGGTGGTTGCCTCAAAGAATGGCATGTATGCCATTGTGTTGCGGCCGAAACTAGCTGCTTTTATTTTTTTCACAGAACACCATTTTTACTTGGAAAAAAAGACTGACAGATAAACTGCAGTTATTCAGACTTGGGTATTTGGGAGATATTTTCTTGAAAATGAATGAAATGAGCCTGTCACTTCAAGAAAAACAACTGACAGCATTTGTTGCCAATGATAACATTTGAGCTTTCTTGCAAAGATTAGAGTTTTGGAAAACCTGAACCTGCCACCATAACCTGACAGATTCTCAGTACTTACGCTGTCTGATGAGATCGACAGTGATATAATACAACAAAAGAATGTGATTTTTTTTTTTTGACATTGTAAAATAAACTGTGTAAGCATTTGGAACATCAGAATAACTGAGTGGATCCATATTTTCCAAAAGATCAGTACATGACATTACAAAATCATGGATGGATAAAAGAACCATTGAAAATGCCAGGACAGGTTTATTGATATGACCTCATATTCCACATTGCAACTAACCTTTAAGAAACTACCACTTGTTAAATTTTGGTGCGGTAAAAACAATAAGCACAATTATCTGAGAAAGCTAAAAATCACTCCTCAGCTTACCAAGTACATAGCCACGTGGGGCTAGATTTTCACTGTACTTCAACCAAAACGTCATTTCACAACAGGCTGAATGCGGAAGCAGCTATGAGAATCCAGCTGTCTTTCATTAAGCAAGACCCACAGTGCTGCCTGTCTCTGTGACTACTTTTCGGTTTTGAAAATACAGGCTTTTCGTAAAAATATTTCACTTATGTTAACATGTAAAGGGTTTATTATTGTTTAAATGAATTAATAAATATATTACATTTTCAGTTTCAATTTCTAATATAGTAAATATCGATAGACATAAGCCACAGAAATAAACTCCCGTTGGTGTCCTCATGAATTTAAAAGAGTCTATAGTATCTGTTGAGGCCCGGTGGAGGGCAGGCCGTGGATATAAGTCTGTGGTTCCAAATTTGCACTTCAGAGCCAACGTACGCCCAGAGCTATTTTTCATTTGACTCATACAGTTTGGCCCTCATAGTGTTTAAAACAATTGTTTAATTTTAAATGAGTTTTCTATATTTAAAAATTGGTAGGTTTTATGTGACATACCACATTTTTCAGTTAGATGGACGGGCTGCACTGGGCCCACATTGGTACGTGGCTCCAGGAGGTGAGTGGTAGCTGCCTTCTTCTGCGCACCTGCTTTCCAGTTCCCTTCATCCTCACCACACTCTACTCTTTCTATCCCTTTGTTTAAACCTCAGTCTATCACAGGGCTTGCTCAGCTCCGGGGAGAATCTGCATCTATAATGTCTGATCTACATGGTCTCCTCGGTGGCCAGAAGTTGGGAAGACCTGGTTGTACCCTGAGACTCTTCACCGCTCCCAAGGGGATGCTGTACATCGCAAGATGCCAAGAGCCTGTAAGAAGAAGCTGAGATCACAGATAAGACACAAATTTCTGAAATGGAGGTAAAGGTCATGTTTTAAGGCTCATTCTCTCAAATCTCTTAATAATCTGTTGCTTTGTATGGTAAGTGGATGGGTATAACTCCAGTAGCTGAAATGGGGATTATATGAGTTTGGACTCGGGAGACTGAATGTCTGTGTTTGAATCCTGGCTATGCCATTTGATAGGTGTGTGACCTTAGGTTAGTTATCCAACTTCTCTGTGTCTCAGTTTCCTCATCTGCAAGATGAGACTAATAATACTACCTACCTTATGAGGTTGTTGGGAGAATTAAATGAGACAGTATGTGACAAGCACTTAGAACAGGGGCTGGCACACAGTAAGCCCTCAATAATTGTTAGCTGTTATTTTTATTATTCTTTTGAGCTGGTCTTGAGTCTGGCTACGAAGAGGGAAGTAAACTGCCTTAAGGTTCTGCCAGGTGAATTGGACTCTGTCCTCACTGCCCCATCTCACAGATCCCGGGGATCCTGGCATGACGGTAGCAGATCCCAAGAGATATTTGAGAATGACAGCCCCAGTCACTTACCCTACCTGTTAGATCTACAACTTGAGATTGATGGTGAGGCGCATTAACGAGTCCATCCACTCATTCATGCCTGCATGCATTCGTTCATTTGATTAGTCATGTATTTGTTCATTAAACCTCCACTGAGTGCTTCTATGTTCCAGGCACATGGACATGGAAATACAGGTCCTGGTTTGGGGTTAGAAATAACAACTAGATATTTTTGCAGGATTGGGCATTAATATTTTAATTCCCTGCTTGTTAAAAACAATGATCCATATGTTTCTATGGGACGGTGAAAGACCTATTCCTAATCTGAGGCCATGTCACCTACATGAAATCAATCACTGTTGGGAAATTGCCTTGAAAAGAGAAACAAGACTATAACTCTCAGAAAAAATTCTGTAAGTACCCAATTTATTCATAAAACAATACAGTTTAAATATTTATGATTTTTTTTGTCATACATTTTTACCATCATTCCCAAAATGTTGTGCATTTGGCTGACATGTATTTGCAAGGTTAGGATCTATAATCATAACACTGGAAATTGTACAAGGCATTTGAGTTGCTTGTTAATACTTCCCCCCCTCAAGAAACAAACAACGAATGGTTTTATTTTGCCTTATGATTTACTTCCCCGTCTTTCTGACCACAAATGAGTTCTACTATGCGCCTTTTAAGCCTGCAAAATACTTGTCCATTTCTCTGCGAGAAGATTATACGGTGAAACATTTATTCTTTGGTTCAAGACTGGCTAGTTTATGTCGAAACAAAACACCTCCACCCAAAACAATGATTCCAGGCATTTCTGCTGGCAGAGTTTGCTCTCGAGAAGGGTAAAAAAGGCAGAAAGAAGCCCCACATTAAGCCTAAAGGTCAACTTGGTGGGCCACCTTTCTGGGGAGCCATGCTGCATGGTCATTTGCCATGGACAAGTTTCCCCTGTTGTGGTTCCACCGAATGACTCTTTGAGGTCATTCCTAGGGACTGCCATCAACATGGAACCCTTCCCGTGGTATGTGGTATGTGACACCTCCTTTTAAAGGGCAGGGTCCGGCCTGGAGGAGCTCTCCTTAGTCTGTTTCAGGAGGAGGTGTGACTATAAAGCAGTGAGACCGACTGGAGGTGTGCAGCTTCTGGAATCAGTCTCATTACTTTCTACTCCCACCTCTGAGACAGGCAGGAGCTGCGTGCTGTGGCAGGGACGAGGTGCCACTCTCAAGCAGACTAGGTGCGGCCCTGCTTCGGATGGTCTCTGCAATCATACCCTGGAGACTAGAAGCTCAGGATTCTTAGTGTGGTCTGAGGACTGCATGGGCACCACCTAGAACGTTGATAGAGCTGCAGAATCTCAGGCCCATGCAGACCTACTGCATCACAGCCTGAATTTGGACAAGACCCTCAGGTAGTTCGTGCCCAGTAAAATCTGAGAGGTGCTGGGCTCAGTGTCCCAGACCCACGAGGAGACTACCTCTAGGTGGATAAACCTGTTCTGTAGCACAGGGACCATTCTCAGCAGAGAGGAGTTATAGATAACAACTGCAAAAACAGTGCGGGTTTTTTTTTTGTTTTTTTTTTATTTTAAACATGCAAAATACAGTCCATGCATCTGCCATTTTGAAAATTCTCTCATCCTGTAGCGGATAAAACCAAATGTGTTTTGGCTATCAACGTTCAATAAATGTTTCAAAATGCTTTACAGTGTAAAGATAATAAGAAATTTAGCAAAATTTCAACAAACCTGTATAAAAAACGGATACAGATACCATTTTATTTCAAGGCGACATGCTGTAATGTAAAGAATAAGTTATCGGTATTTGTGTTTCTTTGTAAAAAGTCTTTACCAATACAAGGGCTTAACAGATCCAGGCCTCGGGGCTACACATGCAAAAAAAATTGTCAGTTGGTTAAAAATCACGAAAACGTGCTATTTTTGGATGTGTATGTGTGTGTTTTTTTAAGTACAGGAGTAGTAGAAGTATTAAATATTAGCAGGAATAGTATTTCAGAACTCTGTAAAAGTGTGTGGAGTTCATGGTGCTAGTGTCCTGGAAGACTCATACATTTCTGAGGAACATTTTGGCTTAATCCCCTTGCCATTATAATAGTCCACCACTTGGTTTGGGACTTCAGCCAACACGCTCTTTGCCAGGGCTGCTGGAGATGCCTGTAGGGAAAAAGAAAGCACCATGACTTTGGCAACCGGCCAGAGGAATCTGATACAGAATCAGCCTAAAGGACTTGGGTCCCGTTCTGAGCAGCTAGCTTCTCTCATCCATTCATTCATTCATGTATTCAGTATTGGTCTACTCCAAGCAGGAGTTGTCAGATTGTTGGAAGATGAAACTTTAATTTCGTAATTCTATTTTTTCATGCCTGTCTCAAAATACGAAAGGATTCACATGTCAAGATGGGGGAAAAGTTGGATAGCAGAATGAATTCTCGTGCAGCTTTGTTTCTGACTTGCATTCGATTCCAGACACTATGTGAATTATATTCCAGGCACTCTGCTAGGGTTTCTGGAGTGTATGGTTCTTGTCATTATGGAAGTTGCAATCATGTGAGGGGAGCCTGGTGTGACCGAAATTTACCCCACTATGAGGCAGAACACGATACATGCTACAGACCAGCAGCATCCCATCCCGCGCGAGCCTATTAGAAATGTAGACTGCTCAACCCATCCCAGAGCTACTCCATCAGAATGTGCATTTTAACTTGATGCCCTGCTGATTTCTATGCATATTAAAATTTGAGAAGCACTGCTGTAGACAGTCACAAACACTCTGTGGGCAGAGCACAGAGAACAAAAGACGAAATCATCTAGGAGGGTATCACAGCATGCTTCCACGAGGAGGTGGCATTTCAGTTGGGCATGTTTTAAAATGTAGAGAAGGAGGATATTGGCATTTGATCATTCGAGGGTCAGTGAGCCATCTGATGGGGCTGAAGGAAGAGTGTGTGTAGGTGTGTTGAGCATGCAGAATTGGTGGAGCATTCAGTTGGAAAATGAGCTTGAGGCCAGGTGAAGGAGGGTCTTGAATACCACGCTAATAATATAGCCTTTATTCTATCAGCATTATGGATTTGGGGCAGAGGAAGGTGGAAGCAGATACGCATGGCCCCTGGAGTCAGGCAGAGCTGGGTTTGATTTCTGGCATTCAGTACTAACTGCCCAAGCTCTGGGCAAGTAAAATTGCCTGAGCCTCATTATTAGCAATTACTGAAGAGATTGGAAACTTGAAGTGTTTGGGATTCTTCAGGAAAGATCCCGAAGGAAAAAGGGCTGAACTAAATGCGAGGTGACCTAGCTTCTAGCTCTTTCCTTCCTATGCTGCTTGTCACTCAGCTATTCAACTTTGCTAAGCCCTGGGGTTCTCAGAGACAAAATAGGAAAGAATAAGAATTCATCCTATCTTGTAGAGTTTTTAGGAGGCTCAAAATAAGGGACACGTATCTTGAAAACACTGTGAGGAGTTTTTCTAAAGTGATTCCCCACACTTTGAAGATGTCATAGCATGTTGGACATTTGGCATCCACGAATGATCTTTTATTTTATAAATAGCTGCTCGGGGTTCTCTGTTAGATCATGGTGCACGTGTACACTGGGGTAGATACAAATGTCATTCCCATTCTTTTCTCTCTGGCCATCTCTCTCTCATATAAAGGTTAGAAAACCAAATACTTGATTTCTCAGCCTCCCTTGCATCTAAGGACAGCCATGTGACCCAATTTCATCCTTTGAGACACAACTGGAAATTTCCTGGGAGATGTTTCTTGGAAAGATTTTCTTTCTTGGTTAAAGGGGACAGATATGGTTCATTCTGTTTCCCTTTTCTCTTTCTTTTTTCCTGGAACTAGAATGTAATTCCTGGATCCACAGCAACCATTTTATCATTATGAGGGATTAGCAAAGGAAATCACCAGGTGCTGGCCTTGACACTATTGAATCACTGAAAAAACAAATGTCAGCAGCCACCAGTCCCTAACTTCTAGCTACATGAGAAAAACATATTTGTACTTACCTAATCCAGAGTTTCTCAACTTTGGGACTATTGCTGTTCTGGGCCGCATAATTCTTTGTGTGGGGAACTGTCCTGTGTATTGTAGGATGTTTACCAGCATCCCTGGCCTCTACCCGCTAGATGTGAATAATATTCCACAACGGTCACCATCAAAAATGTCTCCAGACATTGCTAAATGTCTTCTTGGGGAGCAAAGTCTTGGTTAAGAACTTGGTAGTTCTTGGTTAAGAACCAGTAGTTCTTAACCAAGGGTTAAGAACCATTACTCATGTAATCCACTGTAAGATGGATTTGCTGTTATTGAAGACAAAAATTTTCCTAAACAGTGCCGTCGAGTAGAACTTGCTGAGACGATGGAAATATTCCATATCTGCACTGCCCAATAATGGTAGTCACTAGACACGTGCAACTATTGAACCCTTGAAATGTGGCTAGTGTGACTGAAAAACTGAGTTTTTAATTTGATTTAATTTTAATGAGGTTAAATTTAAATAGCCACATGTGATTATTTGCCACTGTATTGGACAGCACAGCTCCTAAGCGATCCCCCCACCCCTTGGCATAACTGTGCTGGTGGCTCTGGTGAGCAAATGGGGCTTGGGGGGCATGAGTTGCTTGGGAAAAGGCCAAAAATATGAAAGCAGCTGGTTATAACAGCTGTATTTATTAACCACCTACACGGACCTGGCGCTGTTCTAAGCTTTATATAGACACCACCTTTAATCTTCCAATGTGTATGTCACTTGCCTCATTTTACAGATGGAAGTCTGTGGCACAGAGAGGTTAAATAACTTGCCCAGAGCCACAGAACTCAAAGCCTGTGCGCCGTCCACTTCGAAGCTCTGAGTTATCACACAGAGCAGAAAAAGAGAGGCAACTCATGGGTTACTGGCTTATATGAAAGGATATCAGCTCCTCACCTTCCGTTTTATTTATGGCTTATTGAATTCAGAGTAGATTAGTCTGGATAATGAAATGGTTTTCAAAATCTAATTTGAAATCCGTGAAGATAAGGTGGGTGAGATGCTTGTGGCGTTCCGCTTTAGTCATCCACGGCACAGCTGGAGACGCTGTGGCAGAGACAGTGAGGGTGACCCCCTTCCTTGCCCTGCTCAGGGCATCTCCCTTGTTGTCAATGCCCCCTCAACACCCTGCTCCCTGAGGCTCGGGCCTCGTACACCCAGCTCAAGCTGTAGAGTCTCCCTCATGGCTACTTCTCTCGGCCCTGAAGTCCTGTAGCAATATTTTAGCCCTTTTCAGCTACCCACGGGTTGCTTACATGGGATTTTTCTATGTCCCAACCATGCAATTCTCCAGCAAATGACCCACGGCACTATCATCTCACTGTGGTCCCAGTGCCAGCGCATGGCTTGCACACAGCAGGCACTCATGAGTGTTTGAAGAGGAGGAGGCTGGGGTAGAGGTTAGATCCTTGTATGGCTCAGTGGCATTGGTTCAGCACACAGATGGGTGTGCGCGTGTGTGTGTGTGTGTGTGTGTGTGTCTGTGTGGAGGGGCGCAGGGAGAGGGTGGTTTGGGGAAGTGCCTGGGTGTCCTAGGGAGTCAGCTGTTTGACCCTCTTCACTCGGGCAAAGTTATGGGTGGTGGTCGGTGATGTGGCTACTTCTGTCTGCCTGACAAAACGGGGCAGGACTTCAACATCTGGAAAAACACCCTTCTTCCTACCTTGAGCATCATGCACATCAGTAGCTTTATTGCTGAACACAGGTGCAGTGAATTTGGCCTGCCCTGGCACATCCCTGCTCGGAGAGGGGTTTACTTCCTTTTGACTCCACTGCTTGCTGTCCACGTGCAGACAACATGAGGGCTTAGTGAGCTTCTTTCATTTACTGAGTGGTTTCACCTGGACACCTCTTCCTTGCGCAAGTTGAAGGTGGGCTACTGTGGCACAGTTGCCCCTCACCCACGCTCATGGCCCGTTATTGTGGGGGCTTGGGCGTTGTTGCTGTTACTTGGAATCTCCTTCTGCACTCTGCTCTGTAGCCAGGGATCGATTTTAGGCTTCTTTAAGGGTTCTAATTACACTGCAGCCCTCCTTAAAAGGAGAATCATAATCGTGTGGCAGTACAGTTATGAGCAATATCTCGTTGTTCGAGGAGCCCTGGAGTGTGCAGTGACCTCCCTGGGCAGTCCCGGCAGGTCATGAGATCCAGAGGTCAGTGGAGGCTGCTGGGCTCATGATTTATCTGAATGCTCACTTTAAAGAACGTCCCAGGAAGGTGGCAGAACCAACAGCAATTTATGGAAAGCATATGCCCAAGGCTCTGCCGCTGGCACTGGGACTTGTCTGTAGCAAACAACGATCCATCCATCCTTCCACCCTCTTTACTTATCTTACCCAGTGTAGCCAGGCTTCTGGTGTGAGCCCCAGTTGAGATTCAGATGTGCCTGGATGTATCTGATAACTGGCTACAAGAGTGTCAGGGATTCATTTGAATGAGGGTTTTTGGCTGGAGAAAGGCTTTCCCAAAACAGCATCAGGAGGGAGAGCTCAGAGTGGATGGCATAGTGCCTGGCCCTTCCTCTCCCTGACCCTAAATAACTACCTGCAGCCCCGAGGACAGAGTGGCTGCAGTGGAAGCTAGAGAAGATGTTTCCAAGGGATCCTGGAGAGGTGGGGGCACAGACTTCACCGTATTAATGGTCCCGGTGACAGAGGGGTCTCTGCAGCACAGACTGGAGGGGATTCTCGTCATTTCCAAGGGGACTGCAGGGTAGCTTCAGGGCACGGAAGATTCTGGAGATCCCCTCCTGCTGGGGCAGCTCAAGTGTAGATACCAGCCGCTGGGAGCAGTATTGCTGGCACCACTGGCAGTGTGGAGGGCCAGGCCTCACAGGTGGCTTCCACAAGGGGCACAGAACAGAAGAGCACAGAGGACTGTCTGAGACAACCCCTGGTCGCCCCAGGGACCCCCCAGACACAGCTGGGGGAGGCTCCGAGGGTTCTTCAGGGCCACCACCAGCCCAGAGGGCGCCTTTGTAGGAATCAGAAAAGGTGTCTCTCTGGACAGTTGCAGCCCCACAGGTGCAGGGTTTTGTGGAAATTTTAAAGGTGCCCCTTCTGGGGAGTTAATAATTATCCACAATTTGGAAATGAGGAAATTGTTATTGAGCACTTTCTCGATGTCACACTAGAGCGTTTTCTGATGGGCCTGCTCTAGGGTCATCGGGGGAATGGAACGCTGCTGGACTTCCTATTTATTACTGATTAGAGCCCAAGACTGTAAATCTAGATGTAGAAAACTGATGAGACTTCTGTCCAGTAGAGAAGGTAATCCAAAGACTTTTTTTTTCAAACCTTTTGGTCATTAACCAGTTTTGAATCTGCCTTAGCAAACTTATTCCAGCACTGTCCCCCACTGACCATAATCAATTGTTTTTATCCTTCTTTGAACTAGCTTTGTCATCTTGCTGAGTTAAATAAATCTTTGATGCTGGGGCTGGCCCAGTGGCGCAGCGGTTAAGTGTGCACATTCTGTTTTGGCGGCCCGGGGTCTGCCTGTTTGGATCCTGGGTGTGGATATGGCGCTGCTTGGCAAGCCATGCTGTGGTAGGTGTCCCATGTATAAAGCAGAGGAAGATGGGCATGGATGTGAGCTCAGGGCTAGTCTTCCTCAGCAAAAAGAGGAGGTTTGGCAACAGATGTTAGCTCAGGGCTAATCTTCCTCAAAAAAAAAAAAAACTTTAATGCTGCTTACTATATATTATAGAGGATTTAGGTTTGCCAAAGCAAACACAGGCCTCTGCCAGGGGTCATGGCTTGACAAGCAGAACCCAGGCAGAATTTTGGCTTCACCTTGCATGTTCAGCCGTACACCCTTGGGCAGGGAACAACCTACCCAACTGTACATGGCAGCCCTGGGGGCACTAGAGATCCTAAACTATTTGGGTGAGGGCAAGCCCCAGTGAAATGCTGGCTACTGTAGTTAGCATGACTCCTTAACTATAGCTCGTTACACTTCTTTCTTCAAAGAGTCAAGTTCTACCTATCCTCGTGTGGGAGATGGCCTGGCGTAGGGAGGGATAGGTGGCATTGTTTCACTACAAACACTGGTGGAAAAATGTGGGAGTGAGCTTGCTTTGGTTCTGCTCTCCCCCCGGGAAGCCCCCGAGATATGCGTACATGTTTGAAGTTCCTGAAGGGTACGAACTGGACGATGTCTCGAAGGACAGGCTCTCCCTTGGGTGACCTCAGAATCCCATCATCACCATCCAGCATCTGCATGTCACTGAAGTCAGCATTGCCCACTCCCACGATGATGACCGACATGGGGAGATGGGAGGCGTGGACAATAGCCTCCCGGGTGTCAGCCATGTCTGTGATGACACCGTCCGTCAGGATCAGCAGGATGAAGTATTGCTGCGATCGGTCAATCAGACGTCAGGCGACAATGGGGACGGAGAGATGGGGGAGACAAGGACAATACCAGTTAAGCACCTGGGGTGGCTTCCATGCATACTGACCACAACAACAGTGACCGACTTTTTTTGAGTGCCTGTGCAGACAGCCATAAAGACTTCATGTTACAATGAATGGAGCTTAAAGGCAGGCACAGTAATGTAGGTCAATGTAGTAATTGTAGGTTAATTCTTATAATCACCTTAGTGACAATTACAAAGCACAGTGTGGTAGAAAGAGCAGAAGAGAGGAGTCAGGAGGGCTGGCTTCACAGCCTCATTCTCTGAGATCCTGGGGAAATCCCTCAGCTCCTCTGGGTCTCAGCCTCTTCATATCTCAAATGAAGTGGGACCAGCTCACTTATATGGTCCTCTTCAGCCTGGGGATTTTGAAGAGTCTAAAGATGTACTGCTCACCACAATGGCTCCATGTGCCTACTGAGCCCTTGAATTGTGGCCAGAGCAAGGGAGGAAGTGAATGTTTTACTTTATTTCACTTTAATGAATTTAACTTTAAAAACAGATACCCAATTCAGTTACTGGAAATCTTTTTAAGGTTTTGGGAACAAATCTTTTGGAACAACACAAGTACATGAATCTTCTTTCTCAACTATCAATTTATAAAATCCAAATAAAGACCAAGAATTTGTGATGATAAGTTAGCTTCCAAATTAAGGTGCTTTAAGTGTAAAATACACACCTGATTTTGAAGATTTAGTACCAAAAAATGGTAAAATATTTTATTATTAATTTTTTATATGGAGTACATGTTAAGATGAGGATATTTTGGTAATATTGGGTTAAATAAAATATATTATTAAAATTAATTTCCCTGTTTCTTCTAGCTCACTTTAATGCAGCTACTAGAGAACATTAAATCACATATACAACTCACATTATATTTTTAGTCAACGGCACTAGCCTAAAGCCCTGCTGGGAGAGGGTGAGGGCTGCCGTCTCTCCCTCTGAAGGCCATGTGCCAAGGCCCAGTTTGGGTGTGCTCTGAGGTGGCCGCCCTTCTCCAAGCACCTGGGCAGAAGGCTGCTGAGCTCCCGTGGCTTCCTGCTCTAAGTCTTGGCTCCCAGCCTGCAGCCTTGCTGGTCCCTCTCCACCTGGAGAGGCTGGAAGGTGGCTCATTTGAGACGGAGATTGGAGAAAAGGCTCTGCACTCATCAGCACAGAGAGGGCTTGAGAAATGCTTTGGGGTGTGAAGAAGGAAGGCCCCTCGGAGGTCATCACTGCTATTAGTGGTGAGCGGCATCGTGACAGCCTCTACCGGTGGACAGGGGAGGGAAGCAGGTCACTGAGATGCCACTCATGCCAAACTCAAAAGAATCTCTGATATAATCTCTGCTATGGGCACAGCATCTACAGGGAGCAAACATAGGACAATTAAACCATTCCAAGTAGCCATATTCCAGAAGAGAAAGCCTAGATAGAAGAGCCACATTTTGAAAACCTCTGGCTTTGAGAATCACACTTAAAAGGTTACATATAGGCTGGCAGTGCTAAAGAGTTCCACTTTTCTCTGTAAGTCTGAAGAAAGTTTTTAAACAAAACAACTCAGTCAAAAAAACAACTGGAGAGAAGTGAAATTCACACTGTGAGGAAGACCGCCACAAGTTCTGAATGCTTCCACACAGCTTAATGTAAAGACCTATTCTGATCCATGTCCATTAACTAACCACCCAACTCTAGTTCTAACTGATCACCCAATCTGCAAATTCATTCCAGCTGAAAATTTTCATCCTTGTCTTTGCTTTTTGAGTCTTAAACGTTCACAAAGAAGTCGGCCTGGGAGTTTGGAAGAAGGTTTCAGTAGGATGAAGTGATGGAAGATGTAGGGAGGTGTAGAGAGAAGGAACAGAAGGAGGCAACCTTGGTGGTTTGAGGACACAGGGGAAAGGTATAGAATACACCAGAATGATAAATCACCCTTCTCAGGATGCTCCTTGGAAGGCCAGGGCAGATGCCACATCTGGAAGCAGACTGCTTCTGAGTCATAAACAGATGGGCCCTAGAGTGAAGCACACTTCCGTGTCCTCTTCCTCCATTCTCCAGCCTCCCCTAACTGCTGTCTGATCTGGTCTTTATGCTCCAGGGGCTAGATCTCCCAATCTGCTCAATGACCCCAGGAACAAAAACACCTAAAAGTCACACTGCCATATCAAGTTGTAATGATCTAGGGAAAATATTTTCTGTAAAGGGACAGTAACAAACATTTTAGGCTTTTCATAATGGCCTCTGTTGCAATGACCTAAGTCTGCTGATGTACTGTAAAAACAGCCATAGACAATATGTACTTAATACTAATGGGCATGGCTATGTTCCAATAAAACTTTGTTGATGGACGTTAAAGTTTGAACGTCATATGATTTTCATGCGCCATGAAATTATTCTTCTTTGATTTTTTTCCTACCATTTAAAAATATAAAAACTATTCTTAACTTGCATGCCATTGAAAAATGGGCTGCAGGATGTAGTTTATTGACTTTTGATATAGAGCAGGGTTCTTAACTCAGGTTTATGGACCGTTGAAAGATTTCAGGCAGTCTGTGAACTTGGGGTAAATTGCATTTTATTTTCACTAACCTCTAACTGCAATTTATCACTTTTTTCCATTATAGATATAATCAACAAATCAGATTAGTTTTAACTGTACTGTGACTTAGTCACCAATAGAAATCACAGATATTTTCCTGTTATATTACAGTGGCTGCAAATATCTCAATCTATCATTTAGACTCAACACTACCTGGAAATTACAGAATTATTAGAATAGCTACTGGTGCTCATAATTTAATGTTAATAAAGAAACATTTTATTACTATATTTATGATGCTTCTATGCGACATTTGAAAAATATTTTGCTAACTGCATTTCAATAAAATTGGTTTATTTTATGATACATATTTTATTTTGTGCATTTAAAAACATTTCTGAGGAGTACATGGGCTTCACCAGCTGCTACTGGAGTCCATGAAATGAAAAAGCTCAAGAACCCCTGGTCTGAAGAGATTGTCAAGATTCTAAAAGCTGATCCTTCCAGGTTTAATCTAGCTAGAGGTAATGGGCTGAAGACTGCCAGATCAAAATCCTGACGGAAATTTCCTATAAAGCTAGCAGTAAGAGTTGCTTCCAAAGTCAGGCTAGGAAAAAGCTCATAAATGAAATCTTATAGTCTTTGAACATAGTTGAGGTCCTATTTAGATCAGGAGGGGACATTTTTTTCTTTCTAGAAGAGCTCCACAAAATTGAGGAGAAAATCCTATAGCCACAGGCTCCCAGGCACAACTTGCCTAAGAGGTTCAAGTTTAGGACCCTTAGCAATCAGTGATAACAAGGGGCCCTGGATCACACATCGTTCACAGAACAAGAGAAAGGTCTAGGGAAAAGAATCAGTGTTCCTGGCCTGTAGGGGTCACTCATTTGGGAATATATGGACTGGATGCTTCCTGCACCATTTCCTGACCTGCCCTTTCAGAGCAGACCCGCGTGTCCCTTGAGGAGTGCTATATGCTGGCTTCTATCAGTCCTGAATCCAGACCCATGTCAGTCCTGTTCTCTTTTTACTCTTGTAGGTCCTGGTGCCCCAGAGGGGCTGAGATGATTCAGTTTTCAAACTGGGCTCCGGGGAGCCCTGGGGATGCCTTGGATGCTCTTGGGGATAAAGGGGGTAAAGAAGAACAGAGAAGTTTTGAACCCACCCCTTAGCCCAGATTAGCAAGGACAGTCTGTTTTCTTAAAATCCATTTTGTATGTTGGGTTTCTGAGCAAGGTATCATTTGAAGACTTTAAGTTCTGATAATTAAAAAAAAATTAAAAGTAAACAAATATTGATCCTATCCAACCCTTATCCCCAAATCTTGCATCTGTGAGGATTGAAATTTGCTCCAAGGCCTCTGTGCATTTGGCAAGATGGAGCTACTGCTGACATTGACCAGTGTAGTTTCCGAGGAATGCTGGGGAGGAAAGTCTGCCTGGTACGGGTGGAGGAACCCACGGAAGGAGAGATGGAGACAGTGAGGACAGGCAACTCTTTCAATGAATTTTGCTCTAAAGGGAAGTAAAGTAAGGCACAATATCTAAGGGTACAGTGGTGTCAAGGGATTTTAACTTAAACGGGAGATATTATAGCATGTTTTCTTTGTTAATGGGAATGAGTCTTCAGTAGATAAAGAAAAAATAGATGATAAGAAGAGAGAGGGAGTATAACTCTCAGGTCAATGTCCTTGGCTACTTGGGAGGGGGTGTGCTGCAGCACACAAGAGAAGGAGCTGACATTAGATAGGAGAATGGTTCTCCATCCATCCTGACTTGAGGTGAGGCTGAGAACATGGGTACAGCACAAGCAGTTTAGATGAGTCGATGGAAGAAGATGAGGGAGTTGTATATTATTTTCCTTATGCAAATGTAGTATCTTGAAATCCAGGATAAAACTATAGAGAAAAGTTCAGACCTCAGTAATATTCTACTAAATCTGAAAAAAAGTCATACAGCTAAAAAGAAATATATTAATATCATTAAGAATGATACATAGAAAAGATGTTATGGTAATGTATTTAACTCTAAAACATTAGGGGAAAACATTAAAGAGTCAAACTTTGTTTGGGCTTGTAGCTTAAGTTTGCATTTTCTTGAGAAAACCCACACGGAATGTGAAACGAATTTTTGCTGTGATGCTTTGTGTTGCTGCACTTGACCACCAGAGGGTAGAATCAGCCATTATTTTACTGCTTTTGCTTCACTTCCATCTGTACTATGGGTACATTGGAAAGCAAGATAGTTTTTGGGCAATTTTTTTCTTGCCAGGAACATAAGGTGGGTATGACCTATGCTTGAGTGAACACAGTAGCTTCCATTGCTGAGCATCTCCTGTGTTCAGGTAATGTTGTAGACATTTGAGATGGCTCATCTCTAAGCCTCATAATAACCCAGCAGAGATGGGGATGACTATCTCCATTTTTCAGATGAGGAGACTGAGGATAAGGGAGAGTTAAGTCACCCGTCCCACTCACACCTGTAGACATGCTTGAATTTATTGTCAGAGAGGGACGGGTGCTATGGCCAATATCTAGGTGAGGAAGGGGGAGGTTAACTCCCACAGCAGGAGGACTCCTCCACTCCTTACCGATGCCTCCTTGGTGTTAGTCTCCTCTGATGCTGACTTGGCGACCTTCTGAATGATGGGGGCGATGTTGGTGGGACCATAGAGTTGCAGCTTCGGAAGGCAGCTCTGATAGGCTTCCACAACTCCTTGAATTCCTGAGGTGAAATTGGCAAAGATCCATAGTTCAATAGTCCCCTCGAACATACTTGTAATCAAACACACACACAAATAAAGCATTAAATTCCCCCAAATAGTCCTTATCAACATCACATTTATGTTCTTAAGATAAAAAAGAAAATACCATAGCATTGGTCTTGCTGTCTACACCCTTGCTGAAATCATTATCTTTAGGGCTCAAATCAAAAGTGACCATTTACACAAACTTTTCCCTATCATCCCGCTTTACATGTAAGATTTCATTAGATCCTCATAGCATAATAAAATAGATGTTATACCCATTTTATAGGTGAAGAAACTGAGGCTTAGCGAGGCTCAATGATCTGTCCCAGTTCACAAAGCAAGTGAGCTCTAGACTCAGGATTCAAACCCAGGTTTGTCTGGCTCCAGAGGCAGTGCTCTCAGCTACCAGGCAAGTCAGCTTTCATGCTTCTCTAGTTTTCACACCACCTTGTTGACTCTAGTATATACCACCCTGGGCCACCTAGAAGAGTTATGCGTACTCATGACCATCTCGCCAGATGTTACAGTCCTTGTGGGCAGTAATCATGACTTACTCCCTTAAAGAGCTTGAGGGAGGTCGGGCACATGGTGAGCTCACCAAGCTCACCAAGCAGCTACCATGTGCGTGATGAACGAGCAAAATGGCTGATACAATCATTGCTGGGGATTGTAGTAGAGATGAATGATGTTCATCATCATGATCACCCCTTCATTTAAAGGGGGGAATCCATCCTGAGGCCATGGTGAGCCAAAGAAATAGCACAGGGTGGGACTCTCTTGGAAAAGGCAGCGGTTGGATTCTCCCTCAAGAGGCAGCCCTGCTTGTGTAGCTTCTTCCAGCATTTTATGAGTCTTGACTGGACTTCTAATGTTATAATCATGATCCCACAGTAACAGTCCCATTACTAATGGTTTTTGTTCAAATGGCTCCTCTTGGTGTCTGTGCCTATGTTACCTCTTGCCTTCCCTTGTTTCAGCTCATCCTCATATCTCTCTCTATCCTGAAACAGCACACTGGTCCTGTTTTTGGCCAGAAGGATCCACACAAGCCCCTCCTGAGATTGTTCTCCACACCCACCGTAGACAGCAAACCGGCTCTGGGTATCTTGGATGAGCAAGTTCTGTTCTGCCCTTATACGCATGCTTCCAACCCCATTGAAAATGCTGCATCCTCTTTTCCTGCCCCAAAACCTGTCATTCTAAAGACAGATGCCAAATCATTATGCAGCCTGGTTTTGAAGTTAAGCGATGCTGAACAGAAGCTCCTTATCTTTTTTCATTCTTGAGTTTTTACTCGAGATAAGCAAGTTTAATTTCTCTTTCAAAAGTATCAGGCAGATGAATTCTAAGAGTGTGAAACAGGTGAACACTGGGTATGAATTTCATTCTACTTTGGTGGAAAATCATTTTTACAGTTCAAGAATGGGGGTGGCTAAGGATGAGGGAAGTCTAAACCACAATAAACTTGGGGTGAGGAATCACTAGAGGGAATAATGGCTGAATGGAGATTGGGTCTTAGAGGTTATTACGTGCAGACCCAATGATATTGATATCATATTCTTGGACATCAAGTGCTAAATTTGTGAAATAAACTGGTGGATGCTTTACACACCCCACTGGATCTCACTTCACCCTCGTTCAGCCCCCTTTCTCCTTGACAAGAAAGAGAAGAGAGATAAGGACATTTCTACCTAGCCCACTGTAAAAATATCTCACGATCTTCATAGCAACAAATGCACTTGGCTCTATTTGTTATTCAGAAAGCAGGAAAGAGACTTCTAAATAAAATTTATCATCATAGTTGTCATCATCATTATTTTGTGGAACTGTGTTGGGGAACTTCTGGCTGGAAATAATGAAACACGGACCAAAGCCTTTGAGAAGGTTTTTTTCTGGCACAAAACTATGAAGCTACTACTAAGGGACTTCAAACAAGTATCCTTTGCCAGCATGCTGAAAGTGTCCAGTGATTTCCAATGTTTTCCCCTCTCCTCACACCTTCACAGAGAGGAAGTTGTGAAAAATGAAGACTTGATGAAAATGGGGAAAGCAGAAAAAGGAGTGTCTCATCACCGCCCATCAGGTGAACTTCCCCTTGTTTCTTTTTGGCCAGAGGAATCCAGAGCTGGCATCAGTGTTCTTGCTGTGAGCTCTTCTGCCGTTTCCAGCTCTTGTTTTTCTGCTCTGTATTGCAGCCCTCTGCTGCCTTTGGAGGAGCATGGTTAATTTGGACCCGGAAAGCCTAACTCTTTGCTGTGGTTATCATAACTGATAACCTGCACGAAAGGAGAGAAACTAAAATGGGAAGATACAAGCAGAAGGGCTGCGAGCCACTGGCTTTTTTAGGTGGTGATTTACCTGCACATTCTGGGTTGTCTTCATTAAAGTTGATCGCGAAGTCATGAGAGACCTAGACACCAATTAAAATTTAAAAAAGGAAGAAAGGAGAATTACAACTTTAATCCAGTAAGGAGGCACTGGGGTTGAGAGTTTGCAAACAAATGCCCATTACATTCATTATGTGTTAAGCAGCAGGAACCATTTTAAGCCTTTACACAATCAATCTGAGATGGAGGGTGAATTCTAAGCTCCCTGTGGAGCTGAGGTGACAGGAAGATTTTCTGGAATCAGATAAATGCTGGCAGGAGGGAAGAATAAGGCTAAAAAAAAAAATCCAAGAAAAGATTTCAGAAAAATCTAATTCCACATAGCTTCCACATAGAACTGGCCACAGACTGGAGGCTTAGATTTGGCTGAGTTTAATTTGGACCCAGTGATTAAAAAAAATGATAACTCAATAACCCAAGCTGTCTGCTCAACATGGTGATGGTTATGAAGGCTCCAGCTAAGCTGTTGACATTTAAGAATCATCCTAACATGGGATGCAGAACTGCAGGGCAGGAGGATTTTCACTTATATACAGGTGAAATAGACTCCACTCTACTTTCGGACAAGTAATAAAGTAATATACCTTACAATCTTCCAGCACAAATTCCTCTACCTGGAAGGACCTTTGCACAAGGTCAAATAACATATTGTTTATTTTCTTCTTTCTAAAACCTGATTGAACAAGAGGGATGTTCTGGCATTTGGACATTTTTATTGGATCATTTGGAATTTTACAGAGACTTTCGATTCAAAGGTTATTTCTAAGCACTGACTCTCTTGGGGGCTAGAAAGTAGGTCATTGTGTTAAAAGACCCCTCTTTTCTTAGTGGGAGGTCTGAGCTGATGCTGTTGGTGTCTAGCCCAAATTCCCTTCCCCTTAGCACTTCCAGGCAAGTCAGCTGACTTCCAGCCATCTTACCTGCTTTATTTACCGTATTTATTTAAGTTTTTCTCAGGCTTCCAGAGCCTGCTTTACCTGCTCAAGTGACAGGTTAAAAGTATTGGGTAATTAGTGTCCCCCAGGAGCAGCTCTTAATCAGTGGCTGACAGGAGACAGTGTATCAATACCCCAGCTCTCTTACCCCTCAGGGTCTGTGTCTGCTCTGCATTGTCTCCCAGGCTTCCAGCAAAATTAAGCTTCAGCTGCCGACAGTGGTAACTGACTTGTTAGTAAATGCTGTGTTGACTTTCTCCACTTTCTATTGAGGTTTCCTCCACCTCTCAAATAAACTACTCGCATCCGAATTCTTGTCTCAAGGTCTATTCTCAGGAGAGTGCGAACTAAGACAGCGGTGGTGGTTGTGGCTCAGCTGCAATGCAAACTCTGAGATCTTATCCCAAAGAAGTAAATCGTGGGAGCTTGTAAACTCTCTGGGGGCACCTGAGCTGCTGAGACCATCAGTGCCTGTCTGGGGCAGAAGGGAAAGTAGGCATGGAAAAGAGGTATTTAAATGGCTTTTGGGGAGCAGAAGTGAGGGCATTATATGAGGAATGCCTGTTATGACAGCAGGAAGAATAAGTTAACTGACAGGTAGAGTAGAGCTAAGGTATCAGGTGAGCATGAGGACTTCAGAAAATAGAAAGAAGGACAAGTTACTCCAGGAGGGGACCAGGCAGATGTCATGGATGAGAAAAGGAAGGCCTGGAACAAGGTGTACTGCACCTTTGTCCTCAGCCTTACTGGGCCAAGCTGAGACAGGAAGACTACCCGGTGGGGATGTGGGGGAGGACACTCAGGCTTCTCTGGGTAGCTGGACCAGTGGTTGTTGAGGTGCACTCCAGTATCGAAGCTCAGAAGCTCTGTGAAGAAAGTGGGCACCCACCTGCCCACATTCTGGAACTGAGACTCCGTCTCAAGAGGACTGCATGTCTTCAGCTCTGGCTAATTCTTGTACACGTAATCTTTTAATCTTAGTGTTGCCAGGCCTTTCAGTTTTTCCAGAGAAGCCAGAAAGCTGATATTTCATATGAAATTGCCTCATTCTTAAAAAAAAATTTGTATGTCAAATATAATTCATTTGTGGCCTGAATGATGTCCTCAGGCCACTAGTCGACAACTCCTGTTCTATGTTCCTCCTCCTCATGCTCTCCATTTTCAACAAATGCTTCTAGAATTCTGTAGCCATGCCCAGCAGGGAGGCTAGTGTAGGATACAAGGCAAACAAGAAGGAGGACAGGTCGGGGGACATGCCACTCTGTTCACTGCTCACTGTAGCATAACAGTGAGCTGGAGTTTCTCTTTCACAAAAGGCACAGAAGGGGAAGACCCTTGTCTAACAGCTGTGGTGTGGGAGCAAATGTCAGCATCTGCCTCCTGCTCTGCAGCTCAGACACAGTCAATGAAAGAGAAATGGACAATTGGGCAGTGCTGCTTGCACTTAGCTTGGTCTCAGAGGCATAGGGAGGCGGGGGGCAGGGACCCTGATGTCTCTCCACGGCTCTCCCACCTGGGGGAGCTGAATTCCCTGCGGAGGGTATCCCACAGGAGCATCTGGTATACCACAGTGGAGTGCCTCTGTTCCCCTGCAGCTCAAATCTCTCTCCACACAAGCTTTGCCTTCTTTGTGTGATGAGAAGTCAGTATCACAACCGAATAGGATTTCACTGTCTTCATGGAACCGTTCAGCTTCTCAATTCTCTAAGCCAGAGTGGTTCTTTCTTTAGGACTTCTCTGTGTCTGCCACACAAGACTGGTGCTCAGAGACTTGGAATGAGGGAGTCTGTGGACTTCATTTTTCATGGACTTTCACAGTTGGCATCGTCAATAGGATCTTTCTCTAGGAGACATCTGAATAGATAGGTTCTGAGCCGGTAAATATCAACTTCCTGAGTGTTTTCTCAGTCTCTGACTGTATCTATACAAGGTCTAACAATGGAGCCCTTCATTTGGACTTCTGAGAAGACCCATCTAGGGTACCAGGAGATTGAGTTTCATCAAAAAACAGGCTCCAAGGAGCTATCTCACTGATTCTGAAGACATTTCTGACTCTTTGGGCTCTACTTACATAATTATATCAAGGGCCCAAAGAGTGAGACTCCTGTGAGGGAAACCCAAGTTGTTATCTTTTGTCTACAGCAAAGTGAAAGACGACTGCATCTCTATTCACTCACCGTGTACTCTGGGGGTATCCTGGCACCGAACCCAAAGGCTGGGAACATTTTGTCACTGAAATTAAAAAAGAAAGAAGTTGCTTCATTTGTTCATCTAATGAGGAAGAAAAACATGAATCTGCACTACCCAGTTAGGACATGTTGCTATGCCAAATGCTGACTCACGGTTCTCGATTATCTAATAGAGGGTAGCAATAGCATGGGTAATTAAAATCAAGAAATCATTCCCAAAGTTCATTACAGTCATTAGTCTGCAACTTCTTTTCTTAAGTTTTTGCTAGATTTGATACCAAGGAATAAAATGACTCCAAGATTTCCCCACCTCCCCTACTCCAGTTTTCTGTCTCCTTTGAAAAGTGATCATGAATTAGGTAACTCCAACGGTTGACTGTCTTAAGATTTTTCGTATATATTATCTTTTAAAATCTTTATAGGGAGAGATTATTATTCTCATTTTATAGGTGGTAAAATGCCTTGGGAAGTAAAGTGACTGGTCAAGATCATGCTGCTAATTGGAGCCAGGGTTTAAATGCTGACAAGCCTGAATCCAAGGGGGATATTAAAAATCATGGGAAAGCTTGGAAGGTTGGCTAACTGACAGAGCTTGTTCCATCTGCAGACTCATTGTGTCCACTACTTTCTCTCATATAAGCAGGGAGAAATTGTTTACATGTCTTTTCTTGTCTCCTGAATTCAAAGAGATGCTGTTTTTTGTGTTAATATCTTTACATCTCCATTGCCTCCCTGCCCCAAACTGTCCCCTGCCCCTACTTTCAGCATAATACTTGCCGTAGAGTGTGTGCTCGATAAATGTTCAATGACTAGATAATCCATGAATGGAATCATTAAGATGTGGCTATATAAAGAAGGGAGCATTCTTGTGAAAACCCATGAAAGTCACATATATGTCCTTTGGCTTGGTTTCTCTTATGCATATTGAAATGTCTCTCAATTCATTCATTCATGTATGCCGTATCTTAACTCTAACTTTACTGCTCTACTGTGCTACAGGAGAGAGGAAGAGGAGGAGAAGAATTAACATTTATTGGCACAGACAACCTGCCAGACATGATGCTAGGTGAAGTACATACTTATGTAATCCTTACTTGACCTTTGAAATTCCACCTACTTATTGTTCCCATTTTACTAATGAATAAACTGAATCTCAGAAAGGCTAAGAAAGTGGCGTAAGGTGTTTACCAGGGAGCACTGTGTGATTCCAAAGCCTGTGCCTTTTCTGTTATACCATTATCATTTAATGATTATGTATAACATTAAATGTGATTTCCTCTGGCGCTTACAGTAATTAGGCCCCTTGACCAGACAACAAATAAGCCTCTCCTTAAAGAAATTTTGTGCACTCAGGGGGTTGCTGCGATGGGGCTCTAGAATATTGCTCTTCGCAGAGAGCATGTTCTTCTCACGCCATCTACCTTTTACTTTCTCGCCCATTAAAAACACAACTGAGATTTGTTCTTGGAACAATTCCTACATTTCTCAGTTCTTTGCAGAGTTAGTCAAAAAGAAAGGGAAATTCAGATTAGGGCTTGCTGTCCCCGGACATTTGTGTAAGCAAAAGGAGACCCCCCATGCTGACGGTGAGAAGTCAAAGCATCAAAGCCAAATTGTCACCCATCACCATCTAACCAATTTACAGGTCATTAGCAGCCAATGAGAGCTTTCATAACGCTTCACCAAAACACTACCAGTTTGACCAAATTTGGGGTAAGGGTTAGGAGATACAAGAAAACCAGAATTCTTTGAAACCAAAGTCTAAATTCTCCAGAAAACCACCAGCTCCCCCTTTGCCCCTCTGTCGTGTAGATGTGGCTTTGCATTGAGGACAGCAGATAGTAGAAAAGGTATTTGTGCTGATAAAGAGAAAATCACCACAGCTTATACAGGATTAGCCACAGCTCTGAGAAAAAATACTTCTGGTCCTTGGAAATACTGAAATGCTTTGCCTCAGCAATTCCTCTTTAACCAAGACAAAGGTGAGCAGGTGTGGAAAGGAATCAGTGAGGGGGATTTTAGAGGTACTTTCTAGGTAAGTCTGGAAGAAATCTTTTCTGGGTGGAGGATGGGTCCTGGTTCTTCCAACTCAGAGATGGTTCACAAGTCAAAACAGAGAAACCTAAGAGGCTCCACACCCTTTATTTTCTTCTTTGATGAGTTTAAGAGGGGTGAGATCTAATATTCCATCCATTTCTAATCACCAAACCAGTGTTCCAGCCTTAACGATGTTCCTTTTATACCTCCTTAGCCACCCTGGGGGATTCGAAGTTTGCTGAGCATGATGCACTGTTATGTAATTGAGTTTCAAGAGCAGGGAGGTAGGGAAAATGCCTCATCTACAAGAGGAATAATTAATGACCTGGGAGGGCATCAATTCTCTGAAGTTGTCCACCATAAAGACTCCAGTAAACATACTACAGAAAAAATTTCAAGCCTGAGCACAATAGATTTAAGCATCCGTTCTTCCTGATTAAAAATAAAACTAGGCAGAGAGGAGCCTTATTATGCAAGAGGCACAGGAAGGCAAGTTGAGCACACAGGCAAGCATTGTATGCCAACACATCAAAGAACTCGAGATTGGATCTGTGCAGCACTGAGTAAAGGGTCCAGTTAGCAACCACAGAGAAAATGAGTGGTGGAGCCTACCAATTTGGGAAATTCAGGGGCAGATCACCACATCGGTAAAGGCAATATTTCTTACTATGGGAATGAAATAGTATAAAATACAATAAAAGAGCCCATCGTCTTCAACGGTAATTAGCGTGCTGTCTTGGACTTCTTAGGGAATGACCATGGTCAAAAGATCTGCAGATGGAAGATTCATTTTCAGCCATGACTGAGATCAAGCAAGAGATTAATAAAGTCAAGACTAATTACTGCGTTCATAAGGAAATGGAGACAAACTTGGAGCAAAGCGGCATTTCAGAACACCTGGACATTTAATAAGCACTGTTCTCTAAAGCAGTGGTCTTACAACTCAGGTCCATGGAAATGCCAGATCCTTCTGGGGATGTGAGGTCATGGCTTTTTTGGTTTTTTTAAAGAGGAGGTCAGTATTCAGTTCCTCTACTTCCCTATGTATTCTTTGCTGAAACTGATCTTCTGTGAACACCTGTGGTGTCAAGACCTGTTCTCCATTCACACTTTCCTTTCCAAAATTACCCTTCTCCTTCACCCATTCTGCATCTTAACCACCATGGTGCCTTGCTGCAGAGTGTAAAAGCTGCAGCAGGAAATAAGGGAACATTTCTAGATGTGAATGATTCACTAGGAAGTGAGTCCTTTTGCAGGTCAAGTAGTTGCCAATTTTTGCCTTAAAAAAATTGTAGGAAGTGCTGATGTTAGCTGGTGGATCATTAAAAATATATCTTGATGATAGACCATTATGTGATTTTTTTGGATATGTAACTTAAAATTGAAAAAGCTGAGTACTACTGCTAGTCAAGCTCTTTACATTACCACATACTTATTTATAAGAATAAGTTTTCTTAGTATTTACATTGATAAAAGCAAAAAAAAAAGAGATTAGAATTGATGCTAGACTCTCGCATTCCAATAATAGGTAGCATTCATCTACAGATATGTAGATTAATTGGGGGAAACATTCCATTATCTGTTTCATTAAGATTTTTTCATTTTTAATTTAATTTTAGTATTATTATTATTCTTTTTTTAAGATTGGCACCTGAGCTAACATCTGTTGTCAATCTTTTTCTTTCTTTTCCCCAAAGCCCCCCAGTGCATAGTTGAATATGCTAGTTGTAGGTCCTTCTAGCTGTGTTATATGGGATGCCACCTCAGGATGGCCTGATGAGTGGTGCCATGTCCGAACCCAGGATCCGAACCCATGAAACCCTGGGCCGCTGAAGCTGGAGCACGTGAACTTAACTGCTCAGCCATGGGGACAGCCCCTCATTTTTATTTTTATAGGCAATAATTACGTATTGAAATTTCTCACATATTCATGTTCTTGTGATCAATTATGCACTAAACATGATTATAATAAAAACTCAACCAGAAGACATTTTTAAAATACTTCGAATCTTTTCATCGTAGAAAATTTTAGATATTAGAAATTTTAAAATTTATCTTCATATTTTTATTATAGAAATGTATGTTACAGGGACCAATAAAAGAATTTCAAACCAAATTTTTAAAGATACATTAGGATGAAATTCTATGGGGGAATAGAATGGGAATACGAGCTCATGAAAAAAAGAAACAATTAAAATTCTCTCCTCAAACTGAAGAGCTCGTCCATGCATGTTTCAAATGGATGATGGTGGGTATCAAGTAGCTATGGAATTTAGATTCCACTGGATGCATTCACAAGAGTTATGTAAGAGTTTTATTTTTAAATGTCCATATTTACAATACACTCGAATTTTCATTCTTTGTCACTATTTATACTCATAATGGAAAACGTTAGATTTAAATGTAAAAATGTGTGAGGGTTATATGTTTTTATAAAACTCTTTTTAGGAGTATATGAGCAAAAACATTTTTAAAGGTCATTGGTCCAAAATGACTTTTAGGTCTGATACTATAGTCCTTTTTCCTTTTGTGTTCAGTTTATTTTTTTTTAAATAAATTAAGAATATGAAAGATAATAGCCTCTACTGTTTATCGAGTATTTACAACAAGCAGAACCTGTGCTTGTCAGCCACTTCACATCTAACTTACAACTGCTCTACCACGGAAGTTAGATAAACCTTCCATCTGTAATCAAGGAAACGAAGGCCCATGGAGCGTAAACCTCAGGAGAACAGAGGCAGCAGAGCTGGGGTCTGAACCCAGGTCCCCTGTCACCAGGGCCCCATACTCTTTCTATAACCTCTGGTGACTCTGCCCCTTAGAGGAGGCTGGTCTGGTCTAATGATTCAGAATAACAAGGATGAGTCCATCCACGCTCTTACAACAACAAGAGACAGAATCAGCAGAACTCGCCATCCCCGGGAGACCGTCCTGGACCCCCTTCCTTCCCTCCTTATGCAGTCTCCCTCCTTAGACGGGGCAGAGCTGCCCCGGCCCTGCTGGGCTGTGAGGTATTTACATGCCTTTCCCTCCCATGAGACTGTGAACCACCTGGGAGGAAACTATGCTTTAGTAATTTCTCTCTGTCTTTACAGTACCGGGTGAGGGGCCTGGCACCCGGTAGATGCTGTGTAGGTCCTTAGCCATTCCATCTGACCCATCTCTCTGGATTTAACTCTGGGTCTCAACCCTGAATGCCCATTAGAATTAAAAATCCTCATCCCCAGTATGTACACCAGATTAATTAAATCAAAATCTCTGGGGTGGGGCCCAGGCATCAGCATATTTTAAGGTTTCCTGAGTAGTTCCATTGTGCGGCTAGGGTGAGAACTACTGACCAGTGTTGGTAGAGTGGATAAAGTAACACTCTGATATGAACCTGTCTTCTGATTTCTAACCCAGTCCTCAACCCTCGAAAATACCTGTCACATCAGGTTTCAGTTCCAACCTTGCCTCCTAGCACCGTACCTAGCACACCACGCGGGAGACTCCTGCTTCGGGTTCTGATATCCCTGTCTCATTCTGGGGTGCCCAAATCTACAAAATGTCAGTCTGTACTTCCAAGCAAGGTATTATAATATACTGTACTCTTCCAAGCCAGAGTAATGCTCTCTTGATAGCAGATAGACCAGCTTTTTGATTGGAGGACATCGCAGGTGGTCAAAGACCCACATCTCTGCTGAGCCCAAGGAGCACGCATGTGTGCATGCTTGGCAGTCAAAGGGGAGAGAAAGGGCAGTGGTCTCTCTTTCAGAGGCACAGAGACAGAACCAGCTGGCAGGACTGCCTTTTGGGCTTAAACCAGATATCTGGGGGGAGCTTCCCCTCAAGGCCACCCTGAGAAGAGCATTACGCGTCTCTCAGGCTGTTCTACTTCATGGATCACCTCCTAATGACCTGTTGGCAATGACCGTACAAGGCAGAGAGAAAACCCTTGGCTGTCAGAGGCTGGGAGGAATTTATAAGGCTCATGGGGATTAAAAACCTCCCTGTCGCTGCAGGAGGGGGAACGGGGCCTTCTGTCAGTTTTTATTCAAGTGTTTCTTTTTGAGCATCAATCTCCCTGACTTTGATGCAAGAATAAATTAATTCCAAAGCCCCGACTGGAAATTTCCTGACTCTCCCTGTCTATTGTCTATCCACCCACACAAAGGAGAAACTGCGGAACCTTGTCAGTTTTCAAGCGAGCAGCTTGCATTACACATTCTTCCAGGGAGTCTTTCAAAAGAGCGTCCAGGGTTTTCAATCCTCCTTTTCTTCCTTAGGTATTTGCCCATGTTAATACCGAGATGCCTTCTTTATATATATATTTTCAAAAAGCTTCACTGAGCCTAAGAAACCTGATTTTCTTGGCATTTGGGGCAGATAACTTTGTTATTATCCTATTAAAATTTTAAAAAGAATCATTTAAGACAATTCTTCATGTAACCCCTTATGTGTTGCATCTTATTTTTATATTGAATCTGTACTTTTGAGGGAATATAAAATGCTTCCCAGACTTTGTCTGGCTCACATTCTAAAGGGATAACAGCCTAAAAGATGGATAGGTCACTCTGATTATAGTATCTGCATCTTGCATGTGAGGTAATCAGGAAACAGAAGTTCAGCAGCTCGTTGCAGATCACCCAGCAAATCTGCCACAGAACCACAGCGAGGGCTCTAGGCATCAGCATCTTAATTTCTGGCCAACCCGTCAATCTTCTCCTTGGAATTCATTATTACATTACCTTCTCCCTTGCAGAGTCAGCATCAACATTACTATTAAGCATCTATTCTATGACATATGTACTTTATCTCTTTTACAAGCAGTTCAAGAATTTAAAAGTTATTAAGAATCCTGAAAATATTCTCTCCCTTCTTTCTTATCTTTTACGTACACATTAGTACACTAGATTATTTGTGTGTGTGTGTGTGTGTGTGTTAGAATGAAGAGAGACAATTACTGTTCTGGTGTCCTGAGGAAGTTTGAAGACGTTTCTGACAGTGGAGATGCAATTTGTCAGTCTTTTCTCTCCTTGGTAGAAATATCCATATGATATAAACCTCTTTAGGAATCCTCCCTGTATTTGGGCCTGAAGAAATCAGAGCTGAAGTTCAAGTTATCTTCACAGTCAATATCTCAAGGTTACATATAAGAAGTATCACTTCAAGAAGGTAATTTAAAATGCTGTTGCCAGGGCTGGCCCCACAGCGGAGTGGTTAAGTTTGTGCACTGTGCTTCGGCAGCCCAGGGATTTGCCGGTTTGGATCCTGGGCACAGACATGGCACCGGTCATTGGGCCATTCTGAGACAGCCTGAGGGACCTGCAGCTAGAATATACAGCTGTGTACTGGGGGGCTTTGGGGAGAAGAAGAAGAAAAAAGGAGAAGAAGAAGAAGGTTGGCAACAGAAGTTAGCTCAGGTGCCAATCTTTAAAAAAAAATGCTATTGCCCTCTGTTCTAAAGGTAGAGGAAGAGAAGAGTCAGCAAGGGCCTGGGTGTTCAAAGCTCTTTGATTTTTATCCGACTGTTCATTCATCCGTCAACTGCCCTTCCGCTCATTTGAGTTACTGGTGATGATCAAGCCAAATCCAGAAACTTGCCAGCAAGAAGGACACTGATGGGACCTTCCCCGTTATCTGTCCTGTTGGTTTCTCTGGACATTCTAGTCACTAGGTTGTATCATTTCCCATGGTGCCTGGGGTAACAGGTTTTTAACATGGTTATTACCAGTTTTGAGACTACAAAGAACAGAAATCATGCTATCCCACAAAATTTCTCTGAAACTGGAGGATAAGTCACTTTCTTTATTTTCCTGGTTTGAAAGGTCAGTCAGTTAGTTGCTGCTCATTACTAACTAGCCTTGTTTTACAATCACACCAGAAAGTCAACTGAGATTTACCCATATTTATATTTATGTTGGTTCTACTTAAAAAGTCTTCTTGAACAAACATGAGAACAACTGCACCTCAATCTGGAAATACTGGGAACGTAGAATAAATTCAGTTTAATGTAATTTATGTAAATGGTTTCTTACAGGGAATTCTCTTGGTGGGAAAGGTCAATATTTACCCTCAAGTAAAAAGAAATATAATACTGATCTCATCTCAAAGTCGTATTTACTATACACACACATAGAAACACACACACACTTGCATGGGCACACACACATCCTCTGCTAAATTACCAATAGCTTTTCAGGTCAATGAAATACAGTGATTACGAGCTTAGGCTGTGGAATGAGATTGATCTGGATTCAAATTCTGCCCCTGGCTGTGTGACAGTGAACAGATTACTTAACCTCCCGGCACAGTTTTCCTCTTTTGTTAAACAGTACTTAGTACCTAAGGGTTAATGTGAGGATTAGATACAGTAACGTCCAATAAACCCCTGCTTCTCAAATTCCAAAGGGCACACAAATCATTTGGGAATCTTGTTAAAATGCAGATTCTGATTCAGCAGTTCTGGAATGGGGCTTGAGATTCTAAATTCTCAGGTGATACTATGCTGCTGGTCCGTGGGCCAAACTTTGAATTGCAAGGCAAACGCTCAAACTTTACAAAACCAAAACCAAAATTGCAATCCAGTGGTCTTACAAGCTAATTAAGAGAAGAAAGCTGAGAGAGGATTTTTTTGGTGACCAAGGTGAGCATGGCATGACCTCAGTTTCTCTAGGTGAGGAGAGGATAAAACATTTGGGGCAAGGTTTTATTCTGTTCCTTCATGAGCCTCAGAATGAGGAGTTGTTAGACTTAATTTCCATTCTTCTGCCAGGGATCAGCCAGGAACCATCAGAACCCACAAAGAGATGATAAGGCCCGAGCCAACCGGAAGTCTCGTACCTGTCGTAGTCTTGGCAAATCTCCCCCACAGCCACCAAGGCCTTCAGGTATTCATTGGGTTGGTAAGGGTGGATGTAGTGCAGGGAACAGCTGTTCCTGGGGTCTCCATTTGAGGCAGTGAAGTCTATAGCTACCTGAAAGAGAAAATAGGAGAATGGGTGGATTTAGAGTGAATGCATCTTGTAGGAATTGTGCTTAGCCATGAGAAAGAAATGGCCTGAGGTGGAAAAAAGCAGCGTGTTATACAACCTGCCAGTAAGGAAAGTTAGAGAAGAAATTACTTAGTTTCAAAAATCAGTTATTAATTTGGTTGAGGCCATTTCTGTAGCCTTCAATCTCTCTTTCCCTCAATGCCCTCTCTTCTCCCTTCCCAAAGTGGAACTTGAGATTAACATGTAGGTCGGAAAGCCCAGCTGCTGCTGGTCCACATCACTAGGCAGCAAGTATCAGTAAAATACCATAATTCACTAAGAAAAGACTTTTATGCTCTCCAGGCAGGACAATTCCATCTCTGAGGCACAGGCAAAAATCCCTTAAAAGTAAATTCTGTGTTAAAGATGCAGTCTATATAAGAAAGCCATTGTCATATTTTTATGAGTGGCCCATTGCAGAGAGCTATGTTGAAGTGGTTATAATAAATTTTTTTAAGAAGCAGCTCTATGTAAGGCATTCAGCTTTTGGTTCCCACTCATGTAAGAACTTCTGCCTATGACAGAGGAGATGTCTGAATTCTATGGCATCGTGGGTAGGAAGTGGAGAAGGGAAAGCTCTGTCTTGCCACCAAGTAGTCATTATCCTTGAACTTCTTAAATTTTTTCTGACCCCCAACATCATCATCACCTAAATAAAAGTTGACTTACCCAACATTTCTTAACAACGATAACAACAAAATGCTTGAGCCTGGAGGGTGCTAAAATGGGAAGGAACATTTCTTCTAATTTCCAACACCATCATCATTTAAATAAATGTTAACCCAGCAAATGCCTCTTGCAAAACGTGTTTCAGCTTGTAGGTGGGGAAGGGGGATGGAGGGATTAAAATGAAAGGAGTTGTAGGAGAAGAAAGAAATGTTCATGGTGCATCTTTCCTTTCTCTTTGGGGCTCAGCAGAGTCCACTCACTGACTTACTAATGACGGAAAAGCTCTATTTTCTCATATGATCTTGTGGATAGGAAATGATATTTTTATAATATTTGGCAAAATTCCACTATAACAAATAACTGGAATGTCCCATTGGATTTATTAAGGTAGGAAGTTACTTCTTGAAGAAAAGAGAAAAGGTGGCATGTGCTCTGTGCTCTTGAAGGATCAGCCTATAGGAGTAAAACTGACAGGGAGAAAATGTAACCCATGTCTTATGTTGTAACTGCAACAGAATCAAAGGAGCTAGAAGACAGAAAGTGACAGGCTAACGGTAATTTCCTTACAACCTCTCTTTTCTCTTTCACAAAGCTATTTTTTCGCCAGTGATTTTTTTCCCCTTTTTGTCTTTACCCCTCCATAGGACTATGATGAAAATAAATTTAAGCAGGATTCAAAATCTATTTTCAGAATACCCAGATGTTTTAAACAAGGGAGTGCCAACTGATAAAATGCTAGTACTAACAGTGTTTCAAAAGGAAAGGTCATGTGAAAAAAATTTGCATAGTATTCCCTCACTCTTAGATCGCCTCACTTCAGATAACAAGGAGAAGAAGAGACGGGTAACCTTTATTAAGACACTACTCTGTGTAAGACACCGTGCTAACTGCTTTACAGGCATTATGTGATTTTATTTTCATAAAAACTCCAGGAGGTAGATATTGTTATTCTTTTTTATTGATGAAGATCCCGATGCCCAAAGTGGTGAAGGTCACACAGGTCATAGAGGCTGGAGCTGGGTTTAAGCCTAAATCTATATGGCTTCAAAGACTCTGCTCCTCCGTTATACCATTATATACCCAAGAGAACATGTGAGTCCGTGACCGACGTACCGAGACATCTCATGGGTGTGTTTTTTTCCTATGAAGAAGAGATCTGGCCTGGAGGCAGGGAGACTAACTAGGAGACACCTACAGTAATTGAGGAGTGAAGAATGGCCTTGAATGAACAGTTCTTTATGACCAAAGCAGTTATCAAAGGTAGGAAAAGGGCAATTGAAATGTGTGTGTGTGTGTGTGTGTGTGTACGCGCGTGCGCACATATGAGTGCACAACAGCGGAAGGATGAGTTACTGAGGATGACTGGAAGTGATCTAAAAGAACCAGTTAAATCCAGTATCTTCTGAGATAAATTTCGGCCTGAAGGTGAAAGCCAATCCATCAGAAAAAAGAGAGCAAGACAATAGGTGAAGGACCTTTTAATCAAGGACTGTGACAAAAAGCTAGTATGTGTGTGTGGGGGGGAGGGGCAGGGGGCTACAGGTATTTTGTGAACAAAAAGGAGATGTAAAGCCCTCCAGGACCCACCCATGGGGCTCCAACCAGACAGAGGTCCAAATATGTGCAGATAATTCCTGGAAAACTTCTCCAAGGAGAACACTCAAGAGGTGCTTGACAACCAGTGTTTAAAGAAATCACGCGTCTAGGGCCTCCTGGGTTTACTAAGCTCAAACATGTAGAGCTGCCATTCTCAGCCTTTTTGTCCTGCTGAGACACGCTTAAGGGATAATGGCACCTTGCACGTGTGTACATAGTGTTTAAAAGGTTGAAAACAGTGCTGGGAAGGTATAAAGCCACCTCTTTCTCTCCTACTGAAGAAAGCATTTAGAACTCTAGAGAATTCTAGAGAAGGCAGGAATGTTGTTACGGAGGTAACCTTGATTCTGCTCTGATTTATCTAAAATGCAAATCATTGGCAGGTGTTGATACTTTATGGCTAATAACTAGGACCTACGGCTCACCTCGCTTCTGGTTATGATGCCCTTCATCCTGGATCACCACACTCTTCTACCTGTGCTTCTTGATACTGCAAGTGGCAACTGTCCCACGTGCTATTTACCTGACTGAGTGTCAAGGGTATTCTGTGATGACAGAACATGCCGGTGTCTTAATATAAACCCAGAGAATGAAATCAGAGCAGACTAGAGGGGAAATCTTCATAAAGAAAAATGACAACTCGGGAAACACAGTTGTCCCTCTTATGTTCCCCAGGTACGGACAAGATCCTTCAAGCATGCAAACACCAAGTGGCAGCCTCTGAGCCCAGGTGTATCACCTGGATGAGTATATTGCAGTATTGGGAGAAACCCATGCAATGCCTAGATGAACATACATAGATTTTGGCAACACTGTATTTTAAAATAAAAAAAAACACATCATTTGGCTGGGACTAGGGTAATGCAGCAGAGGTGACTAGGGCATAACCTGAGAAGGTACTCATTCTCAGCTGACTCCACACTTGCACAATCCTGAGAGTGAGTGCCTCCTGAAATTTTGCACCCTGGGTGCTTCTCTTGCCTCACTGTCACCCTGGCCCTGCTATGTCATTTCATTTCTATCAACTCTTCATCCTCAGGCTTGGAATAATTCCCTTATGCTTAAGAAAATAGGGTGGGGCAGAGATGATGGCAAGAAGGGGATTGTGATTGAAGATATTAGAGACAGAAAATGAATAGGATTTGGTGAGCGCTTGACATGGAGTGGGATGCCAGTTAGGAAAGGGAGCGGCCAGATTTCTTTGGGGATGGAGGAGATTACATCATGAGGTTACTGGAACAACCTGAAGCTCAGTGTTAGAAGGCTGGCATTGGACTGCTTGTTCTTGGTGGTGGTGATAGAGATACAAACATGCCTGATGGAAATTTTACTCTTTTTCTGCAGGCAGGACTCTGGGGTTTCCACTTTTCCCTGTGTCTGTGACACCCACAGAGGCTATTCAAGCTCAGGAGATTCTGATAAAACTTTGGAGAAGGGTACGAATGATCTGATGAAAAAGGAAATAAACCAATGATCCTTACCACCTACTCCTTTCTGTAGTTTCCACTGCTTAAAACAAAAATATTTTATCATTTTTCTAGACAGCCATGGGCAGTCTTAAGTACACGGCAGCTAAAAGACTTTTTTCCAGGCAAGTGATGGAAAAATCTTTCTAAAGTTTCCCTGATGAAGCTGAAGATAAAAGGTCTATCTTCAGGAGGTGGCCTGCTACCAAGAATTCGCTGTGCTCTTTAAGTTAGCATTAGTGGAAAGAGAACAGAGCGAAAGGTTAGGTTTATTTTCAAAAGCAACAGGGAGGCAGTGAAAGATGGGATTAAGTTGAGAAATAAAAGCAAGAAAATGACTGAAAAATGCCAATGTGGATGTGGCTACCGACGCCTGGTTTCCTGAGTGCCCATGGGCCTGCAGAGCCGCCACATTTTCATTTTCTGATATGAAGCATTTATGAAAGCCTGTGGTTCTGGTGTGCACTCCAATCTTCTCTGCGGGCAGCCCGAGCACGGGCGCCTGCCTGCCAACTGCTCTCCCCTTCTGCCCAGGAGGCCTCTCTCATCATTAAGCAGAGCTGTGGAGCAGCTTTGCAAAACCTTGTAAAGTAAAAATGCAAAAGGCTCCCTCCATGCCACTGAGTGCCCCTCCAAGCACACCGAGTGTGCTTAGGTGCTTCCCAGAAAAGGCTGAAGGGAATGAGGAGCATCTTTCTTTGGACATTTTTAGCTTGTCAGAGGAGACAAGCCCACTCCTCAGATCTCTCCCCTGCCTGTGACAAATGGGCCATTTGGGAACCTCCTGGGTGCTTTCTAAGGGAGGTTGCTGTGAACCAACTTCTGGGTAGTTGCCTAATCTCTCTGCAGTCAACCTTTGTGGTCTCAGCTGCTGGGGCAGCATTTTTTTTTTTTCTCAGATTTGTACACAATTTGGACCCATACACCAAGCCTTGTAGGTGGAGGTTCTATTTAGTCTGGACCATTTCTTAAATGATAGGTTAAATTCTTGTGCTTTTCTATTTCCTCAAAACTCCATAGGGGGCAAAGCAACAGGAACCTAGACTAGGTGGCAAAGACTCCCGAGGTCTCCTCGTTCACTTCCTGGAAATCGCAAAGCGCTTTCCTCTTCAACCCAGAGCTCATTCTTGTTTCTCCGAAGTATACACCAGGGTCCGTCAGCGTTTGATCCGGGATATCAAGCAAAGATTTAAAACTTAAACTGGGACACAGTGTGGACATAGGATGCCCTAAATGTGTTAGGGTCAGAAAAGATTTCCCGAGGAATTAAAATGTAGACTATAAAATCAGAGATACAAGAAAACAACACCATCTTTAATTTTTAAAAATTACAAATAATAAAAATGGTTACCTGAAAAGAAAAAAAGGATTTCTTTTGGTCATGTGGATTACTTGAGAATCTGATACGAGATCAATATCCTCTCACTGGAAAATGCACACACCCAATTCAGCACACAATTTTGGGAGGTCGAAGACGTCCCTGAGGATAGTCTTTGCTCCTCAAGGATAGCCTAGTAAAGTCATATTTTCTTTTTCTTTTCCTTTCTAGTTAATGTTTATATATAAAATATATATAAATAATATAAAATATATATGAAATACATGTATTTTACATACTTGTAATCATAGGGTAGCTCTGCTTTATATTCCTTTTTTTTACTTCACACTATGTCATAAACATGTCCCCATGTCGTTATAATTATTATTTAAAATGGCTTTATCATAGTCCACTTAAATGGGGTACTGTAATTTACATAGCCATTCCCATTATCTTATTGTCGGACATTTGGGTCGCTTACAATTTGTCTCTGTGAAAATCCATTTAACAATGAACATTTTTGTGCATATGGAAAAGTAATAGCTTTCAAAGGAAACATTTAATTCTTCTACCATTTTCTTTCCAAATACCTTATGGTGTCTGTCTCTTATAAGCTGTCTGTAACTTTGCATTTTGTGTGTGAAATTTTAGTATGTGGTTTATTTTCAGCTGCTGTATCATGTGCCAAACATACTGAACTCAGTCTCTCTCCCCGTGGTCTCTGTGTCACCTCTGCCCATCTCCTCCGAGACTGCAATGCGACAGTTGCTCCAGAGTTCTCATGACTCGAGGATTCACATGAGGAAGAAGGATTGTCCTCAAGGCCATCCTTGACCTCTTGAAACTGTGTGCGGAATTGGGTTGGTGCATTTCTGGTGAGAGGATATAGATCTTGTATCAGATTCTCAAGTGGTCCACGTGACCACCAAAGAATAAGAATCATTGACTAGGGCTCTTTTTAGCATCATTTATCTCTTTGCATCCACTGGGCCTTCTCTGCTTGTGGCCTCTTTTAATCCTCGTGGCCATCTTCCTTTTTCCCTCTTGCCTTCCCTTCACTGTCCACCTTCTTGAATGAATAATTACACTCGCTGTGTTCACTTTCTTACTTTCTGTTTACACCCTAACTCCTGGGTCTCCCCTGTCTCATTCTGCAGGAATTGCTCTTTTGAAGACGATCTATGCCTATTCACCACATGACCCAGTCATTGCCTTGTATTCTTCACCCTCTGACTTCTCTTTAGCACACGGGATTATCACCTTTGATCTTGTAACCTTTTCCTCCTCATCATTTGAGTCCCTGTCTCCTCCTGAAATTTTTCCTCAGTCAACTCTTCTCTTGCTGCTTGCCCCTATTTCCCCTGTTGCCAAACAGAAGTCTTCTACAATTTTCTGTCACCAGGCCCCTTTTCTTTCTGTATTTTTCTCTGTGGCCATCTCATCCGGAATCATATATGTGCAGCTTCCACCTTTCTCCTCAAACCTAGGCGCATATTTATAAGTGCCTCAAACATGTCCAAAAGCAAATTCATCATCTTGTCTGGCAGCTCCCCTTGATTTCCATATTGCTGTGAATAGGACTGCCATGCCTTGTCAGTTAGGCACAAAAGATTTGAGTCCCCCTGGGCTTATCATTCTCCCTTGTTTTCCATCTCCTTATTGTATTGCAGGCAAAGGCTTATGGACTCTCATTCCACAATGCCTCTTCCTACTGCTGCCTCACTGGTTTAGCCTCTTACTACCTGTCACCAGGACTGCTGCAGTGGGCTTTAATCTCTTCTTGCTTCACCTTGCAGAATCCCTTCACCGCCATCAATACCTTTCTTTCATCAAACACTGCCAGATTTTTTTTTTGAGGAAGATTAGCCCTGAGCTAATCTCTCTTTGTCGAGGAAGATTGGCCCTGAGCTAACATCTCTGCCCATCTTTCTCTATTTTTTTTATATGTGAGATGCCTGCCACAGCATGGCTTGAGAGCAGAGCTAGGTCCCCGCCCAGCAACCAGCAAACCCTGGGTCGCCGAAGCAGAGTGAGTGAACTCAACCACTACACCATTGGGCCCGCTCCAAACACTGCCAGATTTGCTTCCCTAAAGCATGTGCCTGATTGCTTCAATGTCTGCTCAAGATTCTTCTGAACATTCCCTTAACCACCAAATTACCTCAAAATTCAAAGCCTTTCAAGTTCTTAATCCAAACTACTACTCCAACGCTCCCCTAAATACACCATTTATTCATATTAATCCAAGTAAAGTTTTGGTATTTATCATTAGACTATATGGATGCATAAACATCTAAGTTCATAGGGGCACTTTTTAAAGCAAAAACCCAGTATCATATTTATTCGTCCAATTTCTTCTTTTCCATAAACCTTACCTCCCTTTGAAAGTTTAGAGTTCAACCCATTATAATCAATAAAAATATTTTGAGCACCTAATATATATCATCCTGAGGGGAAAGATGCTCCACTTTTGACATTCTTAAGGCTGAACCAGAAGCACCAGGCCTCTGTGGAAGGTGCAAAAGCTTTCTCCTCACCCCTGTTTATAACGTGCCTTGGTCAGAGTCATGACAGGAAGCAAATGGTGCACTCAAAAGGGATGATCGAGGAGAGTTTAATAAAAGGACAATTCGAAAAGGTTAAGGAAGACTGACTAGAAAGGGTAGGGAGGATCACTCACCAGAACTCAGTGAGAGTAGCATCTGCAGACCAGGGCACCTGGCAGGAGCTGTGGCCTTCTGTAGAGGGACATGGTTACAGCCAAACCATGGCAGGTAGAGAGCTGGAGGAATAAGTGCCCCAGCTTCTCTCTCCTCCCATTCTTTGATCTCGGGTTGGTGCTTCCCATTGGTCAAACCCATCCCAAACCCATGATCAGGAGAACCTGGCTAGTGCGTCCAAACAGGTTGGCCTCCTGTGAATAGAGGGGAGAGGTGGGGAAGGGCGAAGAGTGGAGGAAATATCCAGAACTTAACTTCACTGCTGTGTCCTAAAGGTCTGTCTCCAGGGAGGCAGAAAGTTCCTTTTGGCTAAAGCTCCTGGCCTTGCTCAGGAGCCAGGGGTCATCTTGTGTGCTAATGGGAGTTTTTCCCTCTGGAGGGCTCAAAGGTGGAATTACTGAAACAAAACACCTTTCTCTTTCTCTTTGCTCTGTCTCCATTCTGGGAAACCCTCTCCTCCTGAGTTCTCATCCCTCTCTTACTTTCCTTTCATGTTGCCAGATAGTTTCAATAAAATTACTGGGCAGATAATAAACATTTAGAGACCAAATTAAATACGTTAATTTTTATTAACAGTTTTCATTACAGCTTATAATTTACATTAGATTGCACTGCTTGAGCAATAAGAAATTAATAATGAGGAAGCTGACTTAATTTTGGAGGAAAATGATATTGAAGTGACTAGTTTGAGTCAATAGAAAGCTCAAAATAGAACACTTAGCAGCCTTCTCTGAGTCCCCAGCCTAAAGCCCTACAGGAAAAGGGGCTTTGTGGCAGGGACTGCTGATGGCCTGTCCCCTTCTCCTCAGCATTTATCTCACTCTCCTCCTGTTTTCATTCCTTGCTCCACACTGCTGTCCCCCATCACAGTCCCCAGAGGTCTACCGGTTGACACCGGAGGGGCTGAGAGGTTGGGATTGGGGAGGTGGTGATAAGAACCACTAAGGTGGTTCCTCCCAGTTGGGAAGGGTCAGCAAAAATGAGAAAGGAGGGAGGACAAGGCCGAGAAGACAATCCTTTTGTCAGGCAGGCCACACTGACCTTCATGAGTCAGAATGTGGAGCTGGGAGCTGTGTGGGGTTAACCTTCTGGTTTTCATGGGGGCTGATTCTTTGCAGCACAACTCCAAGGGCAAAGCAAGCCCCTGAAGGTTGAAAAAAAGAGTTGTTCAAGAGCGTGGGATCTATAGAATCTAAAACAGACCCAAATCAATAGAGCTTTCCCTTGAAAACCTATAAATAGTTTCCTGAAATCGCTCCTTTGCCTAAGATCTTGGGACACTATTTCCAGTAGCTCCCCTTTCTGACATTGCTGGCTTCTCTACTTCCCTTTGCATTCACCCAGAGCAACAACGAGCCCATGAGACAGATAGATGTGTGTGCTCTCAGTGAGCATGTTTGCTACCTTCTGTATACGCCAATGTGCACGCAGGGGGGCTGGGTAGATGTGTCTTTGAAGAAATGACCAAATTCTATAATTAACCCTTACAGCAGTTGAGCGGTAAATGAATAATGCCCTGAGTTTAGGCAGGACATAGGTAGACCCCTCTGAGATGAGAGCAGAGGACAAGCTTCTAGCTAAGGAGAGGCTGGTCTATCAAATGACCCTTTATCTCATCCTCTTGGGACTCCCCCTTTTAGTCCTTTGAGTACCATCATCCCTGGTCCCAAAAATACATTGGTCCTATCTACTCTCTTAGGCTCAAAACTAGACAAAAAATTAAACCCATTTTCCTTGCCTTCCTCACATGCCTGGGCCAGTCTAGGGAGCTAAACAGGGCTGAGCTTTATAAGTACACTTCTGTAAGATGAGGAACAAATGCTGCACAGATTGTGTTTCTCTTGATTACATTCACGTTGCTTTCCCATAGGTTTTAGCAGATCTATCTGTTGCCATCTGGGATTCTCTTTCTGGAGGTCACATCTGCTCAAACCTAGCAGCATTTTGAATATTAAGCCACTGAAAGCATGTTTTTCCAGGGAAGATGGACTCACAACTTTGGTCTACCTGGGCACTTTGAAAACACCCAGGCCACCCACCCAAATGCATATAAGGGGCTCACAGATTACGTCTAGGAGATGATCCTAAATCTACCCACTGAGTCTAGACACTCACTCTATTTCTCAACCTTGATTTCAGCCTGGTCCTCCAATACTTTTGAATTCATTTTCATTGCCTGATGAACCATTTGGATGGCTTATTCTTGGCGTTGACCATTGGGCATGACATTGGTGCTTGTGTTCTGGCCACATGAATAAAACCAAGGCATGTTGCCCTGGCTCAGTGGGACTTACTAGCATGGTTCACTTCCTTCTCAATCTTCTCATCAGGGGATGGGACCTGGAAATCTGCCGACTGCCTCATGCCTCATGCCTCATGTAGTTACTGAAAAAGTGGGAAGCATTAGGGTGGGTCCCCAAACCACCAGAGGTTGAGCAGCATGAGTTTCCTGATATGACACTGACAGCCAACGTCACTGAAGAAGACAGAAGTATAAACCCATTTTAAAAACATGATCTCATATAATGTTTCAGCAAGGAGACTCAAACAAAGCCGACCCAGGGTTTTAATAGACTTTTGTCACTTTGCGCCCCAAACCCAGCACCATTCCCCACACCTGGCTCCCTGAATAAGAACAATGTGGAAACAACTTACTGTAAACTGGATTTGGCAGCCACCCATGATGTAGTCCAAGAAAGAATGCATCTTGTGGATCTGCATAGGAGGAGAGGAAACCATTTTAGTAACAGCATGACTTGTTTCCTTACAGATTGAAGGCCTAAACTTTGGGGTTAGGCTGCTACACTAGAGGAAAGAGCAGGGAGAGATCTGTGGGAACAGATGGATCAGTTGATTTTGTTCCGTGAAAGGAGAGAAAGGAAGCACGCTCCATTCGGATGGGCCCGTGAAGGCTGCGAATATTGCCCCTGCTCCCCTCTCCTTTGGTTTACGCCTGATTTTAATCAGCTTCTGCCTCTGGGGTGAGACTAACAGTATATTTCCAAGGGTCCTCACTGTTTTGAAATCAACAGAGTCTCACATTTGGCTTCAGTCTCGTTCCCTGTGTCTAAGTCCCAGTCCTGGCAACACTCTTAAAACCACAGTTATCTAGATTGGCAGCATCAAGAGCACAATTACCTGGAAGGCCTTTACTGAGAGTTTCTAGTTGGTTAGATCCCTCCCATGCCATGAACACCAATGGCTAACATTTATTGATTAATGGATGTATTCTAGGCACTTAACATCCATTAGCTCATTTAATTCCTAGAACAACCCTCTGGAAGTGGTACTATTTTTATTATTGTGCCCGTTTAATAGACAAGGAAGCTGAGGCTAAGCTCACCTACCTAGTACATGGTGGAGGTGGGACTCAAATGATGGCAATGTGGACTGCATAGTCCACCCTTTTCACCTCTATGTTGGAAGTCAGTATGGTCCGTTCTTTCTGCCCAACCGCCATCGTCTGTCTTCTCATGTGCTTTACTGGTTTCTGGCCTTAATTTCTGCTTCTTTATGATTTTCTGCTTGACTCTTGGTGATACTCATCTCTGCATTTATTTAACAAGGACTTATTGAGGCCCCAGCTCTGCAGTAGATGCTAGGGATACAGTGATGTGAAAATAGACACGGTACTTGCAGTCATGGAGCTCACAGTGTGGATCTTTTTACCTGGACCAGATTTTTGTCTGTGATTTTTGACCCTCACTTCTCAGACTTTATCTGATGCTCAGAACAATTTCTCAGAGATTGACCCACAAAATCCCATGTTGGTGTGTCTAGGTATGGCCTCCAGGTGACACACATCTATTAGTAGAGTTTTCTTAGTGCTGATGCTTACTTGGCTCTCTGAATAGCACCTGTTCCTGGCTTCCTTATGGCAATGCTTTCCCTGAAAGTTGGGACACCTGCTATTGTCTGTATATCAAGGAAGTGAGAACTTGGAACTGCCTCCAATAACATTGGTCTCCTAGCGCTGAACTGTAAGACCAACTTGTGAGGGATCAAAGCAGATAGATGCACAGTTAACCTTAAGGAGACAGACAACCATCGAATTGGTTCATCTAGATCTTTTCTCCTGCCTCTCTGGGCAAAGGGGTGGTCAACACTTGACTGTTTTGAATGTACCCAGGATTTGATTTGTATAGGTAGATAAGCTGACCAGAGACAACTGCCTTTGAAAGAAGAGTTTGTTACAGTTCCGTGAAGGATAGAAGGCATGTCACACCATGCAGTGGGCCACACAGGGAAGTAATGGGGTCAGTCAGGAGGCAGAAGGAGTGAGGGGAAAGAGTGGGTAAACGTCTTTCTTGCCGTTTTTAGGGGAAGGAATGAGTGAGGCAGGCAAGCAGCTAAGCAGGTTTAGGATTGGAGAGTTTGAATAATTTTGGCAGGCTCTGGGCTATAGGGGTGCTCCCTAATGGTCTGAAGCCTGGCTCTGGGATGATACAGGGCAGCAGGAATATTGGCTGAATGTGTGAGAGTAAAGGAGATGGTTGGGAGCATAGGCTCTGGATTGGTTTGTCTGCACATCAAAGGCAGGCTTGCAGGCAAGTTGTTTGCTATCTCTAGGAATTAGCTAACCCTGGAAGGGGCAGTTCCTCCCTGGGTCCCTAAGGCCCCAAGATGTCAAAACATCATAAAACATAGAAAATGAAAGACATGATTAACACAATGACCCTAATTGGCCAATCATAATACGTTATCTCCTAGTTCTGGTGACTGGTTCAAGGGGTGGGCATGTGACCCAAACAAAACCAATCAGTCTTTCCTTTTACTCTCTTGTTATGTAAGGATGTGCTCCTACAGCTCCTGGCAGCCATAGAGAAGCCAATCTGGGAGGAGGAACTTGACATATGTATAGAGAAACTGGATGGCATTTAAATCTTATATGGTGGAGTCAGACAGACATCTGAAAATCTCAGCTCTTTAACTTACCACTTGTGTAACTTTGAGTTGGGTACATTATCTCATTTGAAAGTAGAAATGTCAGGGGTGTGATAAGACTTAAACAGAGTTTATTATAGTTTCTCTCAATAGTAAGTACTCAACTAGTGGTAGAATTATTCTCAAATGTGATTTAAGAGGTTTAATTATTAGCACATGGGAATTCCTCTGGGAGGAATTTCTAGGCCCTTTATTCTTCACCCATTGTCTTGTTTTCATGGATCAGGTGCCACATGTAAATCACTGAACACCGTGATAAGCACATAGTAGGTGCTTTAGAAATGTTGGTTTCCCCCTTTGGGGATCTCCCTCTGCTGCTGCCCTGGGCAGAGAAGAGCCTCACTTGTGACCAGAACTCTCCTATCTTTGGGGGAAAGACTGTCTTTGTGGAGGGGATGGTGGCATTGGGCCACCACAGCTCTAAGACCACTCATGCTTACATATCTCCTTGTATATCCATTCACACACTGACTTTCTGATTTTTATTTTTAAAAAGATTGCATCTCATTGACAGTCTCTCCCTCTGACCACACAGCCTGAACTCTTCCTCCCAGATAGCCCTAGCTTCATAGCGCTGGAAGAGAGGGGCTATGTGCATACCTTGCACTGATTCAAAATCACAACGCCCGAATTCTTATAATTTTTCTTCTTGGCTTTGTACTTGGGGTTGATGCACTCCCACTGGACCTGCAACAAGAAGGGTTACATCATGAGAGTCTGCTCAAGAAGAAATGGGGCCATTCAATGATGTCAGGCTCCTGGGCACTGCTGCAGATGGACCTGAGGGCTGACAAGTGGTCTTTAGGTGGTAACTCTTGCATCTCGAGGGTAAGTGAGGAGGAGTGGTTGAGAGCGAGGCTCTGCTATGAGACTGCCTAGTTTGAATCCCAGCTCCTCCACTTTCCAACGGTGTGACCTTTGACAAATTACTAGATTCTTCCATGCCTTGGATATCTTCTCTGTTAAATGGAGATTATAATTGTATATATCTCATAGGATTATTGTGAGGATTGAATAATTAATCCATGCAATACATTTAGAACAGTGCTTGGCACTTATAAATGCCTACTATTAACAGGGTCAAATCAAGCAGCAGGGGGAAGGAGAGATCTGCAGACACACAGTTGAGTGACCCAAAGGCTGAGTCTTACTGCCTGGAAATTGACTTAAAAAGTAGGACAACTGAGGACTATTGGATGCTGGCTATGGGAAGTTAGTGGGCATAATGATGAGTTTACAGAGAACTTGACTGGGAACTAAAATAATGGTTTGATACATGTTACAACAGTGGCACAATAGATCTCTAAAGAGGCTTCTGTGAGGGATAGGACCAGAGCTGCAAGAGTGGTCGGGAACTGAGTGGGTAGATGGGAGCTAAGGGGTGTCTAAGGGAACAGATCTCAACCATTCCAGACTGTAAAAGACATCGCAGGACAAAATCAATTCTAAATCCAACAAACATTGGTCATTGAACGCTCCTGCCCACCATCCTATGAGAGCTGGATCCTTGCATTTCCACTCAGGAGATAAATTTCCAGTGTCTGACAATTAGAAGTGTCTGAAAACAAAGTAGTTTCTAAGGCAGATGTGAGTGGGGTAGACTGAGGCAGCAGTGGGTTCCAATGATCCACTCCTCTCAGTGTCCACGCGTTTATGTCATTCCCTCCCACAATGACTCTGAGCTTAGTCTTGTGACTTTTTTGGCCAAAGGGACATCAACAAAAGTGATATGAGCAGAGGTTGAAAAGTGCCTATGCATTGGGGCTTGCCCTCCTCTTGCTGCTGGGAAGTTTTCACCACTGTATAAAAAAGCTTTGGCTGGCTCTTGGAGAATGAGAGAGAACATGGAGAGGTGTCCCAGCTACCCCAGCTGCTGAGGCATAAATGCTTGAGTGCGTTCACTTGGCACCATGTGGAGCAGAGGAACTGTGCCTGGCGAACTCAGCCTAAACTCTCAACTCAGAGAACTGTGAGTAATGATGTTTTCAGCCAGGAAGGTTTTTTGTGGTTGTTTTTTTCTGTGTGTGAGGAAGGTTTGCCCAGAGCTAACATCTGTTGCCAGTCCTCCTCTTTTTTTGCTTGAGGAAGACTAGCCCTGAGCTAACATCTGTGCCATTCTTCCTCTACTTGGTATGTGGGATGCCTCCACAGCATAGTTGATGAGTGGAGTAGGTCCACACCTGGGATCCGAACCTGCAAACCCAGGGCTGCCAGGGTGGAGTCTATGGGACTTTAACTACTCGGCCATGGGGCCGGCCCCTCAGCCAGGAAGTTTTGAGGTAATTTGTTACTCAGCAACAGATAACAGATACAGCAACTTCGCATTACCAGGGAAATTCTTCGCTTAAGAGTTTGGAAGAGAGGAATCCTGTACTAGTTAAGGGATCTCTAGGACTCCTTCCATAAAAAGAAAGAACAAAAGAAAGGAAAGAAGGAAGAAAGGAAAAAAGAAGAAAACAGTCAAAACTGAATCTGAAATCAGGAGATCTCCAGGCCTGTTGTTTTTTAAAGGCCTAATCTTTCCACCATCATGGTGCTTATTTTTCTTTTCCTCTCTTAAGTTTTCTTCTAATTCACTCTCCATGTGGGCAGTGCCTGATAACAGAGAATTTTAGCCTGTCTCAAAGTTGATATAGTGTTTTCAGAGAAAACATCCCAAGTCCCTCCCAAACCCGTCAAAACTGAAATTGCCTTTTCCCCTAAAGCTTCCTCTAATGTTACAGTATAAACAAGTAGCTTAGAGATTTACCTAAAAATTGGAAAGAAAATATCCTAAAATTAGCTGTCCTGATTCCTTTGTCATCTTCGATAACTGCTATTAGCATCAATTTCTTAAATCAAGCAGGATATAACAAATGAAACTTTGAATGGGTTCGATTCCAAGTTCTATTAAGAAGAGTCTACTCATCTCCATCTCTGGCTAAGATGGCCCAGTAGTGGAGGATGAGTTGGCTCAGCTGGACAAAGCTTTCAAGGACGCTGAATCCAAACCTGCAGGTACTTGGGGCCTTCGTGCCTGCTGGGTGGGAAAAGGGTGCTGATGAACCAGGTCTAAAGATTTCCTATCTGTCCTGGGATAAAGTTGTCACGTAACCATGGTCTGTGTACTTACATCCACAATCTCACTTAACTCTCCCTACAACCCATTTTTTCTTAAAGATTGGCACCTGAGCTAACAACTGTTGCCAATCTTCTTTTTTTTTCTTGCTTTTTCTCCAGAAATCCCCCCAGTACATAGTTGTATATTTTAGTTGCAGGTCCTTCCAGTTGTGGCATGTGGGACAGCGCCTCAGCGTGGCCTGACAAGCAGTGCCATGTCTGCGCCCAGGACCTGAACCAGCAAAACCTGGGGCCGGCGAAGCAGAGTGCGTGAACCCAACCACTCAGCCCCGGGGCCAGACGGCCCCACAATCCATTTTTATAGATGAAAGATGAAGCTCAGAGAAGAGGGGCTCAGGTCACATAGGTGGTAACTGGTGGAGCTGGGATTCCCATCACATCAGCCTCACTCCAAAGCCTGGCCTATTAACCATAATGCTTCCCCCTAAGAGGGTCTTGTTGGGGCCCTCTTGTTTGCTCTTGCAAGTTTCCCTTTTGGCCACCTGAAACTAAGGATGTCCATGACGACTACTCAAGAATAAATAAATCAAGAATTTACCTTGTACCTGCAGAATGATGACTCTCACAGGAAGGAGTCTGAAAGATGACATCTCCTCTTTTCCTCTCTGATTCTACATACTGAGGTTCCTCACGGTTCAAGCCTCCTCTATCCTCTCTTCTATGCTCTCTCCCTAAGTGTACTCATCCATTCTCTTGACTTTAAATACCCTCTCTTTGTTGATGGCTCCTAAAATACATATCCAGGTAAGCCTCTCCTCTGAGTGCCAGTTTCTAAAACCCAATTCTCGAAACTTCCCGACAAACTGGACCTCCCTGAAACAAGACTTCCTCATCTCAGGAAATGGTACCATCTATCCTTGAGTCATCCTTTTCCTCCCTCCCTTTCCCCATCATATCCAATCCCTCAACAAACCTTGTAGCTCCTATCTCCAAAATATATCTTCTCTCTCTCCACTTCTCTCCATCTTCATTATCACTTTTCTAGTCCAAGTCATTATCACCCCTTGTCTTGCCCATTGTAGTGGCCTCCTAAAGGAACTCCCTGCCTCACTCTCTAGTCTCTCTGTAATTGATCGTGTACACAGTAGCCCAAGCAACATTTTAAAAAATTACAGCTAACCATGTCCTTCTCTAGCCTAGACCCCTTTGCAGCACTGTCCAACAGAACTTTCTGCAATGATGGAAGTAGTCTATATCTGCACCAACTCATATGGAAGCCACTAACCACATGAGGCTATTGAGCACTTGAAATGTGGCTAGTGTGATGGAGGAATTGAAATCTGAATTTAATTTAATTTAAAATTTAAAAAGTCACATGTAGCTACTGACTACTATCTTGGAGAACACAGCTTTGGTGTGCTCTTATCACAATTAGAAGAAAATCCAAATTCCTTCCCCTGAGCTCTCAGCATCTGCTCTTCCTGGCTTCTGCCTCTGTCTTCGGCCCCATCTCAGGCATGGCTCTGTCACCCTCTTTGCTGCAGATACACTAGTTTCTTCCAACATCCTTAACCACACTAAACACTTCCCTGACTCAGGACTTTGCAATGCTATTCCCTCTGCCTGAAATGTTTTCCTCTTGCTTGTTACATGATTGGCTTCTTTTCATCTTTAAAGGTCCTCAACTTAAGCGTCACCTTTTCAATCTGATCTCTTCTATACCATACCTTCATAACTAAATTGGTTCAGTCTTTTATAGCATTTCTCACAAGCTGTAATTGCATTTTTACTTTCTGTTTACTTGATTCGTGTTTATGTTTTACTCTGATCCACAGTCTCGGCTTCCCTAGAGCCTGGCACAGTGTCTGGCACTTATTAGGTGCTCCTTAATATATATTAGTAGAATCGATAAATAAGAGAACAGTTCCCACAGTGCAAATGTGCCAAAATAGGGGCTGAGTGGTTGAACTAAAATTTTTCTGGTCTCTCAGTTACAGTTAAGAACAGGAGCATATGGTCCATGTTCTCAGCGGGACTGAATATCTGCTTCTGTTTGTTTGAAAGCATTGCCTGTGGCATTCTTCAATTATGATATATGCTATCATCTTACTTTTAATATGCTCTTAGGAGCCTAAAGATGAAACATTTCCCATGATTATTGATTTGGCTATTTCTATTTGTAGAGGAGAGCAAGGCAAAAGTTCATAAAACTCTTTAGAACTCTAGTGGTTGTATTGACAAGTGTCATTGATTTATCAGCTCAGTAGGGCCTGGGCCTGTCTAGCCACTGGAGAAACGACTTCTCTGGCTATGTTCCTTGTTATCTTGGGAATGACTTTACTTTTAGTTTAGTGTTGGCTTTAATTGTGGCCCTGAAACTCTGCGTGCCTGCTTGTGGGTGATGGTCTTTGTGTGATTGACAAATTTCTCACAATGTTGAGTATACAATAGAGCATATAGTAGGTTTTGTGGGAGCTGTGCAGAAAGCTGCTTTGGAAAGGTATGCATTCAAAGGTATGTATTTAATGAACAGCCTGATTCAGATTAAGCTTCTAATTCAAAGAACGTTAGTTTATTTCCATTTAGTCTGGCTATATCTTGACCTTACATCTAAAAGAAGTGATGTGAAAAATGAGCTGGGACAGCTTCTCTAATCAGCACTTTGGACAAGGCCAGACACACGGTCTTATCTGTAAGGGAAAAGATCTTTCTCAAAGCCACTGAGTGCTCTGCTGTCACTCCTTTCTGCTCCACAGGGACAGTGGGCCCCAGAGTAAGCATGGCAGTATCTTGGTTTGAGTTCCCCCAGATGCAAACCCTGAGGCAAGGATTTAAGTATAAGCAGTTCATCTGGGAGGTAAAACTAGGAAGCACCAATAGAGGAGTGGGGAATCGAGATGGGGAGGCTGCCAAAAAGGGGCACATTATCAAGTCAGTTACCACTGCGGGCAACCAGGGCTTACCCCTGCTGGGGAACTCTGAGAAACTGCACAGAACATACACTCATTTTTCCACCTGAAGGGCAAGAGAGGTGGGGTACTTATACCTCAACTCCCACTAGTTATCTGTTGAAGGCTGCTCTCTGGAAGGTCTCCCCACACACTTCTTGCCTGCTGTAGGCATGGGCAGAACAGGCTCCAGCAGCCAGAGAAAGCCCTTGGGCAAAGAGATTCGGGTTCTGTGGCTGGAAGTTGAGCAGGTGAACAGTGAACTGGTAAGAGCAGAAGTTACACAGCTAGGGTCCACATGACAGCAACTGACTGGGAAATTGATATATGTATATGGAAGTATGTGTGTATGAGAGAACCACAGAGGAGGTTTAGGTTTCTGTGTGGGGCAATGAAATCTCTATGTGTCTCTGTGGTATGCAGTAGCGTTTGGGTACATGGTATCAAGTGTGTAAGAGGGAAATGGTGGAACTAGATGAAACCTCAGTGCCCATATGAAATTTGAAGGAATCAAATAATTTCTGCAAAGCATTAGATGTGTAATTAATGTCAGCAAGTCAAGGAAATGTAGAGCTGGAGAGAATACTACTAGTAGGAGATATTTTGGAAGTGCTAGCTACGTGCTAGGCACTCTGCTAAGTGCATACATGGAGTATCTCATTTAAGCTTCACAAAGTTCTATTAGGCAGGCACAATTATCACCTTCATTTTCAGGTGAGAAAACTGAGGCACAGAGAGATTAAAGCCACTTGCCCAAGGTACACAGCTAAAGAAAATTAGAAATATTCTCATTTAACCTTTCCATTTTACAGATGGAAAAACTGTACCACATTGGGGCAGTGTCTTGTCCAAGGTCACATCAATTGCTGTGGGTTGGGCTTGTACTGGAATCTACGCACTCAAATCCCACCATGCTCCCTTCTCATCACACTTAGTCATATATCAATGTCTTGCCTCTAGCTGCGTCACATGTAGCTGGGCACTAAGAATGCATCACAAGAGAAGAGTCTGGGGAAATTCCACATACCTGTTTCCCTTCCATTGCTCCTCTCATCTCCTTGAATGTCGAGGTGAATTCTCCAATGAAGTCATGTTTGCCGTTGGAGTCCCAGTCCCATACTATGCACTGCAAGAGAAAATAAGTATTTTACCTTTTTTAAAATTAAGAATGCATTCATAACAGCTGAAGCCAGTGTGAACTCTTCCTGGGGAAGAGTCCATGAAAGACGCTTGGTCTGGAACAAAAGCCCAGCAGTCTAGGATTGTGGCACGTGGGATGTGGCAAGCCTTTGGTTTCTGTTGGCTTTACTTAGCCTTTGTGCCATGATCTCTAAGCAGACCTGTGATGCAGCAGTGACTAATAATTTGCCCATTTTTCAGATAAGGCTAGTGAGACCAAAAAGAGATAAGTGACACATCAAAGGGACCATCTAGTGAATGAAAGTCTGTGATTTGAAGGCAGGTGCCCTACTCCATTTCCAGTGCTCTTTTCCCCATAGCAGAGAGCTTCCCTAGCTTACAGCTGGAATCAGATGGCTGAGTCCACGCCTGTGGCTTCCACATTGGCAGCTTATGTTTAGTGATTGGGATGGGATCCTATTAATCACATTTTCTTTTTCTTCTTTTTCCTGAAAGCAAAACAGCAGTGCTAACAAAAATGACTAAGAAGGCATAAAAGTGTGATCTTTAACTGTATCCACACAAAAAATGGGTGGAAAATGGTGACAAATAAGTCACACTGGTAAATATCAGGCATCCACCACATATAAGATGTGACCGCTCACTTCCACCAAGAGGGCTCCCTCTAACAATGTTAAGGCTAAGTTCTGATCTCGCAAGCAGTGCTTTGTAGAGAGACTCAGATGAAATCAGCAGCCCTTCCTCTGCTTGGTCCCACGTCCTTAGGTGAAGAGGGAGTTCCCCATTTATTTCTAGGGTGGAGGTTGGACTAGAGTTTCGAGCACTTTAGACAGATATCACTTCTATATCTTAAGCAAGTGAGTTGTCGTAAGGAAGTCCCAGACCTCAAATCAGATCAAGGAAGCAAAGGTGACCTTTTACTCCCTGGAATATTGGTGTTCCACAAGGCAGCCTGGTCCTTCCTCAGGATGCAGATCCCACTGGCCAGTCCTGCCTGAAAAACCAGATTCCTAAATCTATTCTTCAATCCTGCGGGATGCCTAGCAGATCTAAAATAAAATAGGTCCAAAATGAAACATAATTTTCCCCCTAAACTTATTCCTACTCATTTATTTTCTGTCACTGTTAATTGCACCAACACTCTTCCAGTTGCTACAGAGGGAAAACAGGGCATCATTCCTGATCTTCTTCTCTCCCCCCACCCTCCCACACCAACTCCTGTCCATTCTGTCTCCTAAATATGGCCCGACTCCAGCACTTCTCCCCGTCGCCACTGCCCCTTCTCGCCTGTATCACTCTAACAACATCCTCACTAGTCTCCTTGACGCCCTCATGCTCCCCTACCCCATAATCCACCACTCATGCTCACTTCCTGCTTACAATCAAAATCTATATTGGCTAATGGGTCTTACAAGGTCTTTCATGATCTGACTTCCTCAGTATTCCCAAATTCACCCCTTATGATCCATGCTTACAGTATTTTAAAGTTTCTCTAATATGAGATTGGTTGGAATGCAGAGCATTTGCTAAGATTTTTAAAAAATTTTTTTGATGAGGACAATTCACCCTGACCTAACATTGACATATATATATATATATATATATATATATATATATATATATATATATATTTTGATGAGGAAGATTGGCCTTGAGTTAACATCTGTTACTAATCTCCCTCTTTTTCATTTTACTTTTCTTCTCCCTGAAGCCGCTGTACATAGTTGTAAATCCTAGCTGTAAGTCCTTCTAGTTCTTCTATGTGGGACGCTGCCACAGCATGGCTTGATGAGCAGTGCATAGATCCACACCCAGGATCTGAACCTGCAAACCCCGGGCCACCAAAGTGGAGCATGTGCACTTAACAACTATGCCACCAGGCCAGCCCCGATGTATACATTTTTTTTCTTGAGGCATCTTAAAGAAAAACTAATCCCTCAATTTTTGCTCCCCCTTTAAATTTGGAAGCTTTGGTAGGTGGGTCTTTTGCTTGGAAAACATATTAATAAACCCTCTGGTTATGAAGGACAATGAAATAGAACAAATCAGAACGAAGGCGGTTAAGACGAAGGAAGCTAAATGTTCTGCTGAATAAAGTAATAGTCAAGTTGAGATTTCCCTTTGTAACTAGAGACGCAGAGGTGGGGCTGGGATGTGGGTTGAGAAGAAATTAGGGCAGGGTTTATCAAAGGGTTGTAGATGGGCCCAGGTGGGTGGAGGCTGGGAAACTGTGAGGTCTAATTTTCAAGGTCAAGTTATTTTCATATCTCTCCCCTCTGTGTCCCCTCTCTACTCTCCCCTCTTCCACTACCCTGACACTCTAGTAAATCTGCTACCTATAACAGCATTATGCTGGGGGTGACCTGGAGAATAAAGGAGAGGGCTGTGTCCATGTTTTGGGACAAGCAGACCAGAGAGCAGGGTGAGATGGTCCGCAGGGACTGAGGACTGAGTGGGAGCAGGCCTTGGAGGAAGAGCTTGACAGATGAATCCTGGGAGTGGACCTCCACAGAAATACTGGCGATGGTGGTCGTCTTCTGTAGCTACAGGGAATTAGAATTCAAGATGTCTTACTGAGATTTTAAAAGAAAGTTTAACCCTGGAAAGTTGGAGAATTACAACTAAAATCCAGTTAAAAGCATTACTCAATTTACACTAACTTTTTGGTCATTATATATTTATTCAGTTGGTAGATGCTAAAAGTAACAGTAGCTGTTCTGTCAATCTGAGTCGCTAAATGAGGGCAACGCACAGCAGAGTCCCCGGATGACCCAGGATGGATGTATGTGCATACAAGAAATGCACTGCTGTTGTTTTCAGCCACTGAGATTACTACAGCATAACCCAGTCTAAGAAGCATTTAAGCACTTAAAGGACTGGCACAGCAAAGGGTGTTTCAGTTTACTTTGTCTGACTTCAAAAGAGGAAAAAACAGAATTTTGAGAGGATGTTACAAAGAAGTAACAAAGAAAGTATTTCCCAATAATTACGCCTGTCCAAAACCAAAATAATCTGTGAAAGAATGTTTTATTGCAGGAAATGTTCAAGTGGAAACTGCAGGACTATATACCAAAAATGTAGTAGAGAAAGTCAAGCAGAGAACGTTATAGAGGATTGGCTGGGATGTTCTTTAACCTTTTTCTAACTTGAAGATGCTAAGATTAGTTCCAGCTGCAAAACAAAGTCAATGAAAGTCTTAGCTCATTCTGGGTGAAATGCTAAGTAACGCAACGTAGCTTTGGTAGGAGTGATGAGAACCCCTTTCTAATTCAAGGCAGGATGAACTTCTACCTCATTTATTCCAATGGACAGTGGAACCAATCAATGATTCAGTCATTTGGAAAAATCGCTCAGGATGTGCACCGTGAACCTCGTATCGTCGAACACTGTTGATCGATCTGCAGTTACTTACAACCAGGTGTTTTCTCTGTTTGCCAGTCCCTCCTTACTGGCCCTGACACCCACACATTTATTAGCTGGAGCAAGAAAAAGAAGCGAGCTCACTGGGTCTGGACAGAGCGAGAGGAAGAAGGGTGGCTCCTGGGGCCCTGTCTTTAAGGCTCATAACTGAGCCAGGTTGTACATACAGCCATGGAATGCCCGAGTGACTCTCAGATAGTCATTCTTCTCCCTTTGGGAGGAGCAAATAAAAAGGCCAGGGGCACCGAAGTGAATAGGAGAGAAGGCTTGCAAGCAGCCTTTTTAACCCTCCCCTGCATTGGGAAGGAGGGCAGGAGTCCCCTCTGCTGGGGGAAAAGGGGAAACCTTCCTGCCTCTGTTAGCCACAGCAGGTAATAGACAAAGCAAGAGGGGATGTACTAGGACTTTGGTTTATCACAGAATCTTAAGCAAAGTGCATGTCATTCCTTCTTTGCCCTCCCTTAGATTTCCTGCCATGCTTCAGTTAGCTACTGTTCCTCCTTCCACCTGCCAACCACACCATTCAAGATGTTTGCAATGCACTCTCTCGCTGGGGCAGAAAGGGGGAGAGCACTGAACCTCCCCTGGCTGGAGGATGTCAAGCTTGACAGGACTCCAGTCACGGCCTCCCAGGGGCAGGTCCCAGCGCAGATGCGAGCCCTGCACCTTCAATCAGCTGGCATTTCTCATCACGGCACTTGCGGAATTTTGTTTTGACCTTTCTCAGAAGGGATCCCAAAGGAAGGAAGACACAGTGAGGCAGAAAAATAAAAACACTGTCTTTCCCTCTCCCCCTGCCATAAGGCTGGCTTGTGACAGCTCCGATGCAGCTGACAGAGGAACACATCTTGGTGAAAAGTAAACAGATCAACTGCCCTGCAGAAAAGCTGAGACCGAGGCAGGGTTCTTGGCGTGAATCAGTACAGAAGGCTTGACAGATCTGTGAGAGATCAGCAGCTCAAAACTCTCTCCAAGCCGGAAAGAGTTCTTCCATCTCACAGTGGAGTTTGCTATACAGTCTGAAGATGTCTGAGCTCGACAGATGGTCTAGTCACTCTCTCATTTTACAGAGAAAGAAATCGATAGCAGAGAAGTGAAATGACTTTTGCAAGTTCACCCGGTGCAGGACTGGAAGTAAAATCTAGGTTTCCTGCCTCCCTGATTTCACCGCTACCACAGAAAACAGCAAATCATAGTAATTAAAACATATGTAGTGCTTACTATGTACCAGACTTACTTACTGTGTACTGTTCTGAGCGCTTCAGATATATCAACTCAATCCCCAGAACAATTTATCATTATGCTTATTTTACAGATGAGGAAACCAAGGCACAGAGAGGTGAAGTAAGTTTCCCAAGACCACACAACACCAGGTATCTTTGAACTAAAAGAGGTTGAACTTCATAGCTTGTCTTAACTGATAATCTTTTATGAACCCAGGCCATTTGTGTTTATGGTCTTTAATCCTTTACAATAACTCTGAAATGACAATACTATTATTGCCATTCACAGGTGTCATTCACAGGCTTAGAGAAGTTAGGTGACTTGACTAGGCACTTAGAAAGTGATAAAGACAGATTCGAATCCCAGTGTCTGGTGCCATAGCTGATATGTTTTCTGTTATGCCACAGGGCTCTTAATGGAAGCAGGAATTCAGAATCAAGGTCTCCTTAGTCTGTTCTGTGTAAAAAGTCCCATTCTTTGATTGAAACTATAAACTACTAGGATCCTCTGAAGCTCAATGAACATACCAAGCGACACAGAGAAGCTGTTCACTGTTCGCATGCAACAGGACGTGAAGACAGTAGCATGTGCGTTGTCTCTGGGGTCCTCAGATCTGTCTGGAGAATGCATGGATAAGTGTGTCTTGAGGGGTGGGCTACTCCCTCCTACTCTGATTTTATATTTGCATTGAACCCACTAGAAGAAAGGTGCTATGCCAACTTATTGTTCACTAGCCTTTGTGATGGTCAGTTTTATGTGTCAACTTGGCTAGGCCATAGTCCCCAGTTATTTGATTAAACAATGTTGCAATGAAAATATTTTGTAGACATGATTAATCAGTTCATAATCAGTTGACTTTAAAGTAAAGGAGATTTCGTGGTTCCACATGAATTTTAGGGTTTTGTTTTTTTTCTGTAAAAAATGCCATTGGAGGGGCTGGCCCTGTGGCCGAGTGGTTAAGTTCGCGCTCCGTTGCAGGTGCACAGTGTTCGTTGGTTTGAATCCTGGGCGCAGACATGGCACTCTCATCAAACCATGCTGAGGCAGCGTCCCACATGCCACAACTAGAAGGACCCACAACGAAGAATATACAACTATGTACCGGGGGGCTTTGGGGAGAAAAAGAAAAAAATAAAATCTTTAAAAAAAAAATGCCATTGGAATTTTGACTGAGATAGCATTGAATCTTTAGATCACTTAGGGAGAATAGATTTTTTAACAATACTAAATCTTCCAATCATGAACATGAGATGTCTTTCCATTCATTTGTGTCTCTTTTAATTCTTTTCATCGGTGTTCTGTAGTTTTCAGGGTGCAGTCTTTCACCTCCTTGGTTAAGTTTTTTCTTAAGTATGTCATTCTTTTTGATGCTATTGTAAATGGAAATTATCTTCTTTTTTAAATTGAGATATAATTGACGTATAACATTGTATAAGTTTAAAATGTATAATGTGTTGATTTGATACAATTATATCTTGTAATATGATTGCCACCATAGCATTAACTAACACCTCCATCACATTGCTCAAATATCATTTCTTTTTTGTAGTGAGAACATTTAAGATCTAGTCTCAGTAACTTTAAAGTATATACTACAACATTGCTAACTTTAATCACAATGCTGTGCATTAGATCTCCAGAACTTATTCATTTTCTAACTGCAATTTTGTACACTTTGACCAACATCTCCACAATTCTCCCACCCTCCCAGCCCCTGGTAACCACGATTCTACTCTCTTTTTCTATGAATTTGGCTGTTTTAGGTTTGACATATAAGCAATATCATGCAGTATTTGTCTTTCTCTGTCTGGCTTATCTCACTTAGCAGAATGCCCTCAGAGTCCATCCATGTCATAAAAGGCAGAATTTCCTTCACTGTCATGACTGAATAATATTCTATTGTATATCTATACCTCATAATCTTCATCTATGTATTTGGAATTGTTTTCTTAATTTCCTTTTTGGATGGTTCATTGTTAGTGTATAGAAACACAACTGACTTTTCTATGTTGATTTTGTATCTTGCAACTTTACTGAATTTATTTATTAGTTCTAACAGTTTTTTTTGCTGGAGTTTGTAGGGTTTTCTACAATTAGAATCATGTCATCGGCAAACAGAGTTAATTTTACTTCTTCCTTTCCTATTTTGTTTTCTTTTATTTCTTTTTCTTGCCTAATTGCTCTGGCTAGGACTTCCAGTACTATGTTGAATAGAAGTGGGGAGAGTGGTCATCCTTGTCTTTTCCTGATCTTTGATGAAGGAAGAGCTTTCAATGTTTCACCATTGAACATGTTGTTGAGGGACTGTCATATATGGCCTTTATGATGTTGAGGTACATAATTTCTATACTTAGTTTATTGAACATTTTTATCATGAAAGGGTGTTGAATTTTGTCAAACCAGAATAGCTAAAGCAATCTTGAGAAAGAAAAATAAAGCTAGAGTCATCACTTCCTGATTTCAAAATATATTACAAAGCCACAGTACTCAAAACAGCATGGTACTGGCATAAAGACAGATCTATTGGCCAATGGAACAGAATAGAGAGCCAAGAAACAAACCCACACATATACAGTTGACTAATATTTGACAAGGGAACCAAGAACACACAATGGGGAAATGACAGTCCCTTCAACAAATGATGTTGGGGAAACTGGTTATCTACATGCAGAAAATGAAATTGGATCTCTACCTTACACCATACACAAAAATCAACTCAAAATGGATTAAAGACTTAAACATAAGACATGAAACGGTAAAACTCTTAGAAGAAAACATAGGGGAAAGTCTTCTTGACATTGGTCTTGGCAATGATTTCTTGAATATGACACCAAACACATAGGCAATAAAAGCAAAAATAGACAAGTGGGACTACATCAAACTAAAAAGCTCCTGCACAGCAAATGAAACAATTGCAATATGAAAAGGTATCCTATAGAATGGGAGAAAATATCTGAAAACTGTATGTATGGTAAGAGGTTAACTTTCAAAATATATAAGGAACTCCTATAATTCAATAGTGAAAAAACAAATAACTCTATTAAAAAATGGAGAAAGGACTTAAACAGACATTCTCCAAAGAAGATATACAAATGGTCAATAAATACACAAAAAGATACTCAACATCTTTATCAGGGAAATCCAAATCAAAGCCACAATGAGATATCACCTATCTACTAGGGTGGTTATTATCCAAAAAATCTCAAAAGATAATAATTGTTGGTGAGTATACGGAGAAATTGGAGCCCTTATTCACTGTTGGTGGGAAACTACCATACGATCCTGCAATTCCACTTCTGGGTATATATCCAAAAGAATGGAAATCAGGACCTGGAAGAGGTATCTGTGCTCCTGTGTTCATTACAGCATTATTCGTAATAGCCAAGATCTGGAAACAACCCGACTGTCTGTAGACAGATGAATGAATAAAGAATATGTGGTATATACATAGACTAGAATATTATTCAGCCTTAAAAAAAGAAGGAAATATTGCCATTTGTGGCAATATAGGTGGATATCATGCTAAGTGAAAAAACCAGTCACAGAAGAACAAATACTTCTTGATTCCACTTTTATGAGGCATCTAGAACAGTCAGACTCAGAGAAGCAGAGAATATAACAGAAGTCGCCAAGGCCTGAGGAGTGGGGGGAATTGGGGAGTTGTTGTTCAATGGGTATCAAGTCTCACTTATGCTAGATGAATAAGATCTGCCGTACAACATTGCGCCTATGGTTAGTAATACAGTATTGTGCTCTTTAAAACTTAAAGAGGATAGATCTCAGGTTAATTGGTTTTACCACAAAACCAAAACAATCAAAGGACACAAGGGAATTTGGGAGGTGTTGGATATGTCTATTACTGTGATTGTGGTGACGGTATCATGGTGTTTGCTTATGTCCAAACTCATCAAACTGTACACATTAAATACGTACAACTCTTTGTATATTAATTATACCTCAATAAAGCTGTTAAAAATATAAAGGAGATTTTCCTTAATAATCTGGGTGGGCCTGATACAATCGGTTGAAAGGCCTTAAGAGCAGAATGGAGGCTTCCCTGAGGAAGAAGAAGTCTGCCTTTGGACTGTCACTTCAGCTTATGCCTAAGAGTTCCAGCCTGCCCTTCCCGATGGCCTGTTCCAGGCATTCCAGATTTGTCCCCCAGCCCCGACAACTGCCAACTCTCTGCCATAAATCTCTTAAAGTATCTCCCACTAGTTCTGTTTCTCTGGTTAACCCTGACTGATACACCTGTTCTCACCTCCTCCCTCGCACTCATATATTCGACATTTAGAAGTGAGTTCTCAGTGACAGACAAGACGTCTTCTCATCCTGACAGGCCAGCATCTATTGAACGCTTACTTTGTCCCAGGCGTTGTTCTAAGCATTTGACACGTTCTGCCTCATTTAATCTTCACAGCAACCCTATCAGTGGGGTGCTATTATTATCATCTCCACTTTATGGATGAGGAGGACACTGAGAAACAGAGAGGCTAGTTATCTACTTCCGTTACAGAATATTCAGGGTGTTTAAAGTATGACTGACTTTGACATCAGAGTTTTTAGGATCTCAATCTGATTTAGGCCCTGGAGGGCCAGGCGAGCTGTCCAAACTGTGCTCATAAAACTATATCACAGCCGCTGACCGATGCAGAACTCTCACAGTTAAAATAAATCTGTGCTTCTTCCCTTGATTTTTTAAATTTTTTTTAAACACTGTAACTTGGCATTTGTCCAGGTGAAGTAGAATTCACTGTCGAATTTCTCCCAGCTCCTTAGTCGTGCCATCCCCTAAGCTTCCACTGCAATGTGTTTACATCTGCTTTAACGTACCTCCAGTTACATCGTCACTGTTGGTCTGTATCCAGTACTTGAAGGAAACTTCTGAGTACTGAGATTTTTATCAGGGTTTAGCACAGTTCTTTGGCACAAGTGAGCACTCAGACAAATATCTGATGAGTGAATGAGAAAGGTGCTTCTCCCTGAGTCAAGTCAAAGGCAGTTCTCTGAGTGTTTGGCTGTTTCCACACTGCAAAGGGAGGGAAGGTATAGCAATCATCTGATTAATCTTTAGTAAAGGAGACAATTAAACAGGATAGTATGCCTTCGTGGTTGTAGATGTGAGTATAGGCATAGGATCATAGGAATGGGATTATGGACGCAGTTTAATGATTGCAGACACAGGTATTGGGGTCTGGGAAGTGGGAGACCTGAGTTCTAGTCCCAGCTTTCTAGATAGTGCTGTGAGATCTTGGGAAGGCTTCTCAACCTCTCTGTGCCTCAGTTTCCTTTTCTATAAAATGGATCTCTGGGTAATGATTTTCAGAATGAATGTTCTCTGAGGTCCCTTCCAGATCCAGAATTCCCTAGTTTAATGGCATAGTAGCTTTATTCCTTTTTCAACCTTCTGTTCCAAAGTGTGAGACTATCATATTAAAGCAGTAACATTCTTAATTAACTACCAACGCTTAATTAATACAACATTACTCTCCTTGTTTTCTTTCATTAGGTATCTTTATATGCCTTGGACAACTAAAGATGAATTGTTCATTGTCTCATGGTGACCTTCACAAGAGCCCCATGAGAAAGAGAGTCCATTTTTACAGATGACGATCCTAAAGTATAATAAAGAACTGAAGGCGGCTTATTCCCAAGCACAGAGTGAGCCAGATGGAATTGGGCTGTGACCCTGGCTTTATTTCTCCACCTCCAGGGCCCTTTCATTGCACCACATGGCTTCACGACATACTCCTGCCAGGTGCCTTTCCGATGGCAGGCTTTTTTTTTCTTTTTCTTTTTTTATAACCAACAAATTCATGAATGTCTGACCTCTCCCCGGGAAGAATATACTTATATACATTTTTAATGTTCTCTTTGATAATAAGCATTCTTTAAAATTGCCCAGAATGATTAATCCAGGAGGGGCCTTACCAGCTCATTTAAAGGTGGAATTTTAAACGGAGACCATCAAAATTAAATGCCAACAGAGTCAGTAATGTAAAAACCAAGCTGCGATCACCTATCACTCAGTCTAGACCAGTCTCTAACTGCAGCTCTTGGGAAATCAGACAATATTCTATCATTTTTAAAGAGATTTTAGGCAAGTACATATAATCATATTTCAGGATAGCTGTGATTAGGGATCTGTGAGAATTATTCATCCATAATTTAGTATTTGGGATAACTTCTTTTTTTGTAAAAATTCAATGATAACTCTTAACACAAAATTGGTTTAGTGGTTCACACAGAACTGTAAACATCTATGAAAATAATATCAAATATATATTGCTTATTTGATGGTTGTGACTGAGCACAGGCACACCTTGGCTGGGTGTGTCCATGGGAAGAGGGTCCATGCCCCCTTGATTATTTTCTCATCACTTTATCGTTATTGCTCACTGCAGACCTGTCAATCACCTTCGGACAGCAACCCAGCAGCTAGGATGGGAGTTAAAAGTAGCTGCTCCATTTGTAATACGAACTCCATTCTGATTCAGATTTCTGAGTTTGGTAGGGCAGGATGCCACAAGGAGTGAAGACAGAAATCTTCAGAGTAGAGTGGGGACTGTGAGAAGGACATCAAGATGCTGGATCGAGATGGAAGGGAGAGTTTCTCACATAAACATTATGTAGATACAGCTCCAGAAGTGGTGGGCAGGGCTGGGGCCTCAGCCACACCCATCTCTGGCATTCACCTTGCTGAATGGGTGTGCAGGACTAGCAGATGTCTATCTTCCAGATATTCAGAGCCTGAGTATCTTCTAAGGGATTCAGCCTAAAGTAAGGAGACAGCAGGCTGCCAAGATGGGTCCAGGAACAAAGAACTGGGTTTTAGAGGAGTGGGGCAGAGCTGAATAGAGTTGGGTGACAATCACTCAGGTTTTTCCAAAGGCCAGGCCTCTGCGGATTCATGTCTGAGTTCTGGGAAGGGGGTTGTAAGTAAAAAGGCAGCTTGAAAGAGCAGTTTTCACAAAATAGCAGGGTCTTACGTAGGTCAGGAGAACAGAGGGAGTGTTTTTGATGTACCAAGAGCCCCGGAAGGCAGATTTGGGGATCCTGAGGGCTCAGGTGCATCTTCATGCAGTAGAGATGTTGCTTGGAGGCTGAGGGTGGAGGGATGGTAAGAGCAGCGGCAGCAGGGATGCCTGGCAACCTAGAGGGTGCAGCACTGACATCCATACACTAAGGCATCCACGCACCATGGCAACAGCACCAGAGACAGAAAATGGTGCTGAACCCTCTGGGATCCATGGAAGATGACTCCCCTTGGCTTGGGGGTTAATGCTTCATGTGAGCTTCTGACACAATGAAAGTGGAGAAGGGCCCTCAGCTGACTTCAACAGTAGCAAAAGCAGGAGACGATGCAGCAGAAGAGGGTCGGAGGCATGGCCCACGCCGTGAGGTAGCTGAAAGGACTTGTGGCTGAGCATGTACAAGAACCTGCTTGAAATTTTCAAAGAAATAATTGAAGGGTGGACTTTAAAGGTCATGAGTCAGAGGTCCTGCCATAGTTGATGGAGCAAGACCAAGAAAAATGTAGCTTCTACCAGCAATCTTTGTTTTAAAATCTACACTAAAGATTGGGTATGCCAACTTGTTTTAATTCCAGGTGTGAACCCTGTAAATGAGTCTGTGCACAGTCATCCACCACCTGTTTCCTCTGTCTGTCCTGCCCTCACTCACTGACCCCTGCCTTAAGAGGAAACATGGAGCATCTAAGGACATGAAGTCCAGACACTATGAGAGAGTGCTCTATGCTGATCTTGGGGTTGCACTACCTTCCTTATCAGCACCACATGGCCAGACTGATGGGACTTCCTTTCATCTTGAGACTCAGACCAGGTGCTTAGTGGGAGGGGCATCCCAAAGCATGAGCTCCCCTTGCAGACTCTGGTCAGTGCCACCGACCTCAATCTTCTCCTTATGTCTTGTTCTTCTGGTTCTAGACTCTCTTGCTCTCAACTTTGCTGCCTTTTCTTCTAAATCTGCTCTGAATTTACACTTTTCATTCATCTCACTTCATTTCCATTAATGGGGCAAAATTTCCTTTTCTGAAACTAGAGAGTTGGTTAAAGATGTAGGTACCATAAAGATGTCAGTACTTCCAGGAGAGGAAACATCTTGACCTTGGGGGTAACTGGCTAGTGACCTGATATGGGTGGGAATCAGCAGCACTCTTGGAGTCATTCAGAATTTGATTCAAATCTCCTCCTTTCCATTTGCTGGACAACTGTATAATCCTCCCCAAATAACTCTGCCTTTCATTGTGCAGTTTATTCATCTCTAAGGTAGGGATGATAATTCCTCTCTACTCACTAGGTTGTTGCAAGGATTGATTTCACACATACGTGTTATTTATTTATCACCTACCATGGACTAGCAGTTGTGCAGGCAATGGGATAAAGAAATGAAACACTTAGCTCCTGCTCTCAAGATGCTGAGATACAGTGCAGAAGATGGACATTTAAATAGATAACAGTGACGCAGAGTGGAAATGGCAAAAATGGAGGTTGCACCAAGGACTGTCTGGGAGCGTTCACTGCAGACAGTCAGCAACGGCTTCCAAGAGCAAAGAAGAAAACAGCACCTGGTAAATGGCATATGTACATATATGAGATCTTTATCTTATTTACACAGAAGGACAAGTGACTAATATCAGGCCCTTTCCTGAGCAAAAGGTAAGGACAAATAGAGCAGAAGAGCACCCTGGTGCCTGACCAGGGGACAGCTGAAGGATGCAGAGATGCTTCCTCTGTCCTTTGGTTTACACTTGAGCCTGCACGGAATTAGAATATAGTCTGTCCAATTAAGTATCTCCTCTCCCCTCAGATTACAGGCCCAAGAGACAGCGCAAACATCTCAGAGCACTTCTCTGCAGGACCTTGTGCTATGCCATGGTGAATGCCCCAGGAGATGATGAGGAAGATGTAGTGGTAAAACAAGGACAGACCTGAGAAGGCACAGATGTGGGTCCTGGTATGGAATTTGATGTTAACCAGCAGTGAGACATTAGACAAGTCACTCCACCTCTCTGGGCCTCGGTTCTAATCTGCAAAATGAGTGGCTTGCATTGGAGGAACAGTAACAACATTTTATGTCTAGGAATTTAGTATGTCCAAGGAGAGCTTGTTACATGTCAGATTCACAGGCTTCAAAGATTCTGATTCAGTTTTCTGGGGAGGGTCCCAAGAATCTGCCTTTGAAGTAAGCAATTCACCAGTCTGGGTGCATGTGGTCTCTGGATACATTAAGAAACACTGGACAGAAAACCCAGGAGTCCGTGGTCTGTGACAATGGTGGCAATAATTACAATTACACCCTGGCTCACACTGTCTTCTTCAATTCAATAAGAAACCCAACTACAGACAGGAAACAACATTCAAGGGCCATTCTGGCTCCTAATGATCCTTCAATGAAGCACTGCTCTAAGCAGACAAACAAAATCCTAAAATGTTATGCTCATAAGAGTTGGGCTGACGGATGCCCAGGAGGAAAGGGCGGTGGGTATCTTGGCTTTATCTTGCAAGTTCACATATCTCTTCTCTTCTGGCCTGCAGCCAAGCCCAGAGACAGTCCACAATGAAGTGTGTCACTCTTGGAAGCTTTCACTAGAGATTTATGGTGTTGGGAGGCTTGGTTAGTTCAGATAAGCTTCAGAGGCTCCCAAATGCTTGTCCAAACCTTTTTAACTTCTCACCTCACTGCTCTTTAGGAAGATTGAAACTCCCATGGTCGTGTGGGCAGCATGAAGAGGCAGGCTTTGACAGTGACTTATGCCTCAAGCTTTGAATAAGAGCTCTATCTTCATGATCAGAGTCATTCTGGATTGGTTCAACCTGTACCACTGTCTTCAACCAAATTTATAGATGAAGATCTGTTTGAGAAGCTGATATTTGATGAGGGGACTGATGGATGGTTGGACTCAGGAAAGTTCCTTATGTGAATCGCAAATGTGAACACAATCCCTACTCAATGCACAGATATTCAGTAATACAAGACAGTCCAGTAGGTTGTTGGGGTATGATGCATACTATTTTAAATATCAGATGAAGCACTGCCATCTTTGAAAAGTTCTGAAATTATAAGGGTCTCTCCTTTTTCTCGCTCTCTCTTTCTTCTTTTTCTCTCTGTGTTCTCTCTTTCTATTATCTGTATCTCCACCTTTCTGCATATTTCCTGAAACCTGTTTTGGATGAGGCTGATACATTTTATAGCAGAAGGCAGAAAAAATGACTGTGATTTTTATTTTTCCTATTTGATGGTTTTCTTTCATTCATTATCAAACCTTTATCGAGTACCTACACTGTTTCAGGAAATGAGTTAGGTGCAGAACATAGAGTGACAAAGAGAAAGGTAGATAAATTAATCTCCACCCATATAAAGCTTACAATCCAGTGGTGAAAATAGACATTAATCACATGTGGAAAAAACATAAAATTAAAGTGAGTACATATTAGGGACTCAATTATTGTTCACTGGATGAATGAATGAGTGAATGAAGACAACATGTGAATGGGACCTTTTATGCAAGGATCTTGGGGCACTTTTCCCAAATGTTAAGTAGTAATTCCCTCCAAATGTGTTGGAGGATCCATGGGATCAGGTATAGAACTCCTATTTCATTTCTAATTTAGATTAGGTATCTAACTTATAACCTCATAACCTTATAACCTCAGAGTTATAAGACAGAAAGACTGTTCTAGGGCTCGAGTCTGAGACACAATATCTACAACATGTGCTGTGAAAAGAAGTAGAAGAAATAGAAAGAGTAGAGGTCTACACACATCTCAGTTGGAGAGACACTG